GTGATACTTCCTGTTGCCACTAGGTGGCGCTCTGACTTATTACCGAATATTATCACATAGACATGTTCAGGGCGGGACTCTTATCGAACATGTGAAGTTTTGTTGCAGTCGGATCATGTACGCAGAAGTTATAACGAATCCCTCTTTCATGGCGATGGTTTGAAATTGGATGCCACAGGACGCCACGCCACGGGCACAATGTTGGACGAAAAAAACTGACTGCACTGACCAATTTTGAAGTAGATCCAATAAAACCTGTAGGAGGAGTTAGTTAAAATAGAAGCCCTGAAATGCCAAAAATGACATCAGTGTGACATTCGTTTAAAATGGCCAACTTTGACGGCACGCCACGGACACGCCCTTCAACGTACAGTCATAAATAGCACAACTTGTAATTAGCAACATTATTCAAGAGTACTGTCAAGTTTTGAAGCAGATCTGATAAATTCCCTAGGGGTTTGTTTGTTCAAATACAAGACCACGGACTTCAAAATGGCCAACTTTGACGGCACGCCACGGACACACCCTTCAACGCACAGTGAAAAAAATGAACAGCGTTCATTCAGCACCATTTTGTGACTGTACTGACCAATTTTGAAGCAGATCTGATAAATTCCCTAGGAGGAGTTCATTCAAATGCAAGGCGAAAATTCACCGAAAATGATCACGGACTTCAAAATGGCCAACTTTAACGGCACACCACGGACACGCCCTTCAACGCACAGTGAAAAAATGAACAGCGTTCATTCAGCACCATGTTTTGACTGCACTGACCAATTTTGAAGTAGATCCAATAAAACCTGTAGGAGGAGTTAGTTAAAATAGAAGCCCTGAAATGACCACAAAATGGCAGCCAAGAGTGAAAATCTAAATTTAAAATAGCAGACTTCCTTTGGGATTTGGGACAGGGGTCCAAGAGGCTTTTTTGTACGTCTCGGCGTTACACATGCCTACCGAGTTTCGTACATATTGGCGAAACGTGGCGCCGGGGCTGCTTTTTCAAAATCCTGTAGGGGGCACGACAAACACGATTTTTGGAATGTGAGCTACAGGCACCAGTCTACACGTGTCCTGTGAATTTCATATTCATAACTATTACGGTCTCTGCAGAGTGATTTACCCTGCCACCAGAGCGCCACCTAGTGGCGTGATTTTTTTTCCTTTTTAGGGGACCCTCAGGGAGCCATGGGCAAGCATCGTACCAAGTTTCATTTTAATCACACTTGCCGATGCAGAGATATAAACTTCTTCATTTTAAAGAGCGCCACCTTGTGGTGATGACCTGAAATTGTGCACGATACACAATGAAGACATTTGGAACTATTGACCCAAGGTTGGTGTAAATCGGATGTGGAGAAATACCCCACTTCCTTTTTTGACGAAAAATCAACAGGAAGTGCTAATTTTATAACTTCCTTATTTTTTTAAATATCAAAATACTTTAAATTACTTTTTTTGCCAGGACGGTCTCCAGATGCTACGTGCAAAATTTTGTGCGAATCGGACAAAAGCGCATGGATGGATCATGAAAACCTAGTTTTTGGACATTTTGCACTCAAAAAAATCTAGGCGGAAGTGGGCGTGGCCTATATGGGGAGATTCAGCTCCATTCACCGAACGCGTGGATATAAGGTTTTTGAAGGTGAGACAAAGTATGCGGGAGTTATTAGCCTATCAAACTTTTCCTAAAAGTAGCGCCACCTAGTGGCCTATCTAGTGGCTGATCTGCATGTGACGCATAGAATATCTAAGTTAAACCAGGCTTGACAAGTCTGCCAAATAAAATAGACATTTCGTATATGTTCAGGGGGTCAAAAATGCAGTCAAAGAGGGTGAAGAAAAAGAATGATGATAAACATAGCAAAAACAATAGGGACCTTCCAGTTGTCACTGGCTCGGTCCCTAAATATCAGTAATATTTGCAATGGGAGTCAAGCAGGACCATGGCAGGAGGCTCCACCAGGATCCATGAGAACCTGCGAAACGAGAAAGCACAAGAACTCCGGGGAAGAAGTGAAGTTAGTAACATGCATTAATGGGACATGAATGAGTGCAGAAAGAGAGAGAGAGGAAGAGAGGAGCTCAGTGCACCATGGGAAATCCCCCGATAGTCTAGGCCTATAGCAGCATAACTAAGGGATGGTTCAGGACTCACCTGATCCAGCCCTAACTATAAGCTTTATCAAAGAGGAACGTCTTAAAAAAAAAAAAGGTAAATGGACCTGTACAGCGCCTTTCTAGTCTTTCGACCACTCAAAGTGCTTTTACATTACATGCCACATTCACCCTTTCACGGCAAAGTCCATCAAACAGAAACTAACATTCATAATTCGGGGTTCAGTACTCCAATTTTAGTCCTCCTTTTTTAATGATGCAGGGTTAGTATCTCAGGTTCATTACAGGTAGGTGGCAGCATTTATTCTCACTCTATGTTAGCTCGCTCTCATGGTGCACTTGGCTGCTCTCCGACAGATTGACTGCAGTTTACTACAGTTTCTCTCTAACCATAACATCAATTTGGCCACAGTCCATAAAAGAAAGTGCAAGTGTTTGTTTCATGTCCAATTAATATTGCTGTGCATGTAGTTACAACCACCACAATAAACATACATCTGATCACTCATAGGCGGTGTGCAGGTAGATGGTATGGCATTAGTGAGAGGGTAAAATACAATTAAAGATTTCCAGGGTAACATAGATTATAATTATTACAGTCAATTTTTTTGTCAGTTTCTTGCCTTTCTCCCACTTGTGAACAAAAATAAATGTTTTTATTCAAAGCTCCTTGTGGTTTCTCTCAGTTTGATCAATTTGAGCAACCGTAAACAAACAGACATTTTTCTTGGATATTTACAGTGAGCAAGTTGCTGTATTTCAATTTACAATAAACTACTGTAATTGTACTGTAATGCAATTTACAATATATAGAACAATACCAGTATTTTGGTCTAATTCTGCTGTATTCTATTATATTGTACTGTAATATATCATGTTTTATTAATATGGATGTATTAGTGCTAATTATAATAAACCTATCCACCCCTTTCATAGGTAATGTTATTCAGACATGATAATGTTGCCTAACTCAGTCTGTGTCATGCTCTATCTTAAAGCCTTGTTATATCTTGGAATGAAACATACACACAGTATCACTGTGCTTGGCTTAGTAAGAGGCTCCATTAGAAACATGAGAACATGGCAATGCTATCTTTTTATTGAATTAGCTTTCTTTCTCTCCACAGCATCCGCTTATTCTCTTTTTCATGATTCCCTTTGTGTCATCCATCCACCCCCCTCCCATCCCTCCATATATATCTCCTCCTCGTCATCACTTCATCACATTTCTTTCTTGCCATTTATGCACTGTTAATACATTTTTGAGTTTTGTGAAAACTTTAAAATGTCATGTTTGCATAAACTGGTATGAAAAAATACACTGTGACGAAACCTACTTTTAGTTAATCCCCAAAGTGTTCTAACATCTAGTTTTAGTCTGCTCTGAAATGTTTTGCATGTCTGGAAAGCAATGGAGTACAAAAGAAAGAGTTTTCTGCTGTTGAACTTGTGATATTGGTTAATTAGGGGTGTAAGAAATAATAAAAAAATATACACATTAGGCCTATATCTCAGCATTTTGTTCACGTTTGTGAAGAAAAATGTAAATGTAAAGTAAAGTCAACTGTCTAATCTACCAATTGCCAAGCATCAAGGACAAGAAAACACGGAATCTGTCAATAAGGAATCTTATTAAGTATGTATGATTGTATGCAAATCACTGCTTTTACAGAAACTTCTTGCAGTTACTAATCTAATATGAAATATCCATAAAATATGTCATTTAGTCAGGGGTTGTTAGTTAAATAAATTATAGACAAGGGGTCCTTTAAGGAAAAAGATTGGGAACCACTGACCAAGAGGAAAAATACTATATGATATACAGTATGTGTGGAAAAAATATTTGATAGCCTGATGTTTCAACTCAGCAAGAAGATCTGTGATCATGAAAAATGTCATGGCAATCCATCCAACAGTCCGAACCTCAGTCAGCTTTCTCCTTTCTAGATAAGCTGAAAAGGAGAAAGTTGATTGAGGTTCCAAAAGGTCTTAGGAAGGGTCCATTCTTCCATATTCCATCCTATTAGCCAAAAAACCCTCGAAAATACCGCACTTTAATGATCAGGTACTGCAATATGGACCCTCATAACACTAGAAAAATTTAACTGTTCTGGACTGCCTCAGTAAAATGGTGTATTTATCAATAAAGGAAATGTTCAAATCAAAATGTATAATATATATATACATGGTGGCTACAGTGCTGATAATGACAAGGTTCTGCTAGTTTAGTCTAGAGCACAGAGGCAAACATTCAAAGGATGAGAACTGACCTTGGTTAACTTTGTGTGGAAAACTGAAATGGACACTTTGTAATAACAACAGCTTCCTAACAACAGCTGATCAATACAAATGAATTGCTGAAAGGTTCTTTCTAATTTCGGGTTGAAAAACAGACACAGAGATAGTGTGTGGTGTTACCATCCAAGACAAGAGGCCTGCTTTTCTCAAACCACACCAGAACCCTCTGTGCACAGGCGGAATCTAATGGCAAACCACAGTAAGCCCATTGCAGAACGTGAAGCCAAGTGAACCACTTAATGCATATTATGTTTGTTGTTAGTGCAAATAGAAACAAATATATAAAAAGTACAGATTATCAATAAGGTGCAACTAAATGTACACAAAATGTAAAATTGGTTAAATGTAAATCTTCATTAGCAGCACTGTGTAGAAGGTTCCCCTAGCTAAACTATTGCAATCTAATTCAGCAGCCCTGAATGAATCATATCTGCATGAAGGTGCGAATGTTCCATTTTTGTTGAAATGGTTTTAAAGCAGTGTTGATTCAACTTATGGTAATTGGAGGCTGCTGTTGATAATAGCATTATTACTCTTTGCTTTTCCCTCATTAATAATGAAAATGCCATACTACCATGACCAACACATCAGAACGAGAATCATTTTTATTTGCCAGGTCTGTGTACACATATGAGGAATTTGACTCCGGTGTTATGTTGCTCTCAGTGTACATACACAGAAATAGACATTAAACAATAAAACAGGACAACAAGCTCAATAAGGTAAATTGACAATCATGCAAGCATTTGAATATTTTGATATGCTTCTCTTCCTTCTTTCTCGGCACTCTGTAATATAGCCAACACGATCTCCCAACTCGCTAAATATTTTGGTTGGCTCATTATACTACGCGATCATACTACGACTTCAATGACATATCTAATCTTTGTCTCAGTCTTTTTCTCTTTAAGCTCTTTTAGTTATGATTTGGCGCTATACAAATTAAATTTAATTGAATTGAAAGCAATGTCAGATAGGCACATCCAGAATAGAAATGTATGTGCAGTTTGAAATGTAGGGACACTCACTCACCAAGCTGCCATATGTGCTGACTGTTTAATAAGAACAGGCTAATAAAGCACCGTAAGGGTCGGGTCATCAATGTCTGCCAGATTTTATTGCAGTGAGGTGAGGTGAGAACAGAGTATCACCAAAGTCAGTAGGATTCATCCTATGGGGAACATGAATGTCCAAAGTGGTGGACCGACTGACTTACAGACCGAACAATGCCATCCAGAGCCATGCCACTAGCACGTCCAAAAATGACCACTGAGAAAAATTGGCACCACATCTTCTGTATAGCATGTTGTTTCCACACTACGACTTAAAGCTTAAAGAACAGACTGAAGTCGGTAGAATGGCTTCCAACTCAGGAAAGGGGACCATCCAAGGTGTATGTGAATGAACAGAGAGCCCCCCCAACATCAACCTGAGCAGAGGTCTATAGCAGATTAAGTGAAAATGCCTGTTTGGATGTGCAGAATGAATGTAATGCTTAAATCCATTCCTAAATGCCCTGTTGAAAATAAAGGAGTCTCAGCTCAAAAGCAACTCATTTGAAAAGCTTTTCCTGTTATTCCAAGTGGTTTTTGCCATGCACTGATATATAACCACACACACACACACACACGCCATTAAAGACCTCCATGCACGTGAACCAATTCATGACAGCTGTCTTGTTTATTCCTGGTTTCTCATCACAAAGGCCTTTATGATTTAATGGTAGTGCATTACAGAAGTTTCAATGCAAGGTGAAAAACAGGCAACTAGAGAGCTCAAACAGAGAATATTTTTCAGGTTAAATTTCTTTTTTAAACAAATCCTGAGCCAGTGTCGCATGCCAAAAGTGTCACCATGCAAAGACACTCTGCTTTTGTATTTTAATTTTTACATTTTATATATATTTGTCACCGTCTGCAGACGTTTTGAAATATTTAAGGATAACAATTCAGGGTTCTTCCAATGTTTTTTTGACATAGGCATAAACTAAGGGTGTAACAGTACACATATTTGTCCCAAGCCATTCGGTTCAGGAGGTTTGGCTCGGTAAGCAACTGCCTCAGTCAAGAACCTCCTGTGATCCAAAAAGTTACTGTCAAATTAGACTATTCAGATCTAGCACACGCACAGAAATTCTAGAGCTCAACTTTTACCCGTAAAGTTTTGACCAGTTGTTGTTGATTAGCTGTAGCATGCTAGTCAGCTTAGCAGAAGGAGACAAAAACAGACAGCCTCTCGCTGCAGATGCACACCGTGCCAAAGTAATAACTATAACGTGTTTATTGCTGTGGATATGCAACCATACTCCTTTTGTCACAAATTATACAAATTATACTAATTAAGGTTCCGTTGAATTTAGTATAGGAGAGCCTTTCCAGTGAGCCAACACGCACGGATAGCAGCACCCTGACTCTGGTTTGACCTGAATGGAACAGAACCTTAATTAATCATTAGTAACAACTCTGTTTATCCTACTGTTTCATGTCAGAATGCCTGCTGCAAAAAGGGTCTGTTATCCACAGGTCAGAGTCTTAGACATTTGTGTTACTAATTTTTCTTATTGATTATATGCCAGTATTTGGGTGCATTATGTTATAGTAAGAATTGAACAGAACCAGTTAGCCGGTGTTAAATAAAATGTTATTGTCTAAAAAAAATGTTTGGTTACCCCTTCTGTACCAAAAACATACCGAAGCATGAATTGTGTGTATTGTTACACCCCTAACATAAATATTCAGGTTATGTTGAGATACTGTTTTATATAAAGTCTGCCCTGAATGCATAAAATTGATAAAAACTTTGAGCAAGACCCATCTCACATCTGTCTTTCTTAGTCCACTGTTCCCTGACCGTTCTCCATTTAGGTGTAATGTTCAATAGAAAATGCCCCTGAGTCACTGGACCTCATGATGGTCTCATTATGTCTGAGTGACAGCTGTGAGCGGTACAGCCCATTGCTGTGGGAATCTTGTGGGTTGTCTGACACCTACAGTATGAGAGAAAGAGAGAGAGAGAGAGAGCGAGAGAGAGAGAGACTAGTGATTTTCATGTCTATGCATACTACATAAATTAAGACACATGCTGCTTTAATTAATAACCTGTTGACATTTTAGCAGTTAAGGGGGCGCCCTACTGATACAATTACAAGTTGCTGGTTAGTGGTGGTGATGTTGAAGTCATGCTACCGTGGTATAGTTTGCCCCATTACATGACCACAACAAGTTAAAATTGCAAAAGAAAAAGTTGAAAATTCATCAGAACAAAAGTTAACCGTAACAACTTTAAAGGGTAATGTGTCACTGTTGCGCCTATAGCTTGTTCTATTGCCTCAAAGTGGATAGAAAAAACAAAACAATGCAGCTCTAAGGGTTGACAAAGTACATATTTGTGATTTCCAACACTGTGAATGATGAGGTCAAATCCGACAATGTGTACATTACATTGTGATCTTAACAACTGAATATATTACCTCTTCAAATTTCTTGGCCTTGTATTGCTCTGCTCCTTTCAAGAAGTTCAGTAGTATGATGTCACACAGCACTGTGCCCTACATATTAATTAAATAAAAGGGTCATTTTTGGCTCCATTTATCAGTTTAGAAGAGAAAAACACAAAACTACTAGGTGAAAAATAACATTTATACTGGTTGTGTCAAGTAAAACTCACCACTCCCACTGACGTAAAGGCTGCCACCATGTTGATGAGTGTAGGGATCATGTTGAACTTCCCAGCCTACGAAGGAAGAACTGGGGTTTCAGTCTCCTGGCTCTCACTTTATAAATGTAGTAGTACAAGAAACTATTACATTTATTTATTTAGCCCCCTTTTCCACTGTCTCCTAAGTCTCCAAAGTTTAAATTGTGATTAGTGTAGTGGCCAATGTGGAAAATAATCTATTTTAAGAAGCCCCTGTCAGCAGAGTTTCCAAATCACCAAACTTGCATTTCTTTGAAGGGGAAAACTCCACACAGAAAGACCCTAGCCTTTATATGAAAATACTGATGATATTTGAACTTCATTTATCAAAGCTACTCTCGAGAGATAAGATAATAACCCTTTCAGTGTCCCATGTCCAAATAGTAAGGCCACATTCTTATTATGACTGTATGTAGATGCATTGTATACATTATTCTGCTAAGACCTCTAGCACTGCTAAAAAATACATTTGACAAGATACCACAGCTGGGTCAAAAAATACCACAAAAGTGCCTTTTTGAAAGCCTCATAATGCATAAAGCACTCGCACAACTAGTGCCATATAATAGACGTTAGTACTTTACTCTACAAAGAGGAACAAGTACCTTCCACTCCTAGCTGTCAAAATGACCACATACAAATCCATATCCCTGTCATTATTCATAATGGATAGTTTCAGCAAGTACACATACTTAACTTAAAGCCCTTTAGACAAAATGTCTATATGGATCCTTTCTGAATGGACACAATTTAAACTTGTTGTATTGATTGGGAATGAGAATATTGATAACACAAAGTCTAAGACACTAAGATATATACTCACATTTCCATTGACCAGAACATCAAACCTAATTGCATAGGCTTTGACCAGAGTGCGGTAGTCAGTCCCGTTCTCCATCTTATAGTATTTGGCGAATCTGTACAGACCAATTACCAGTTTATTTTAAAGAAAACACTTTCATTATTGTATCATTATTTGGATATGAAGTTATGCATATCGGAATATTTGGCATTATTTGTTGAGTTCTCTTGTTGCGTTCTCTGGATGGAACATATCATTCCAACAATACCTGAAATTGTAGCCTGGTGAGACACTGTTCTTCTGTGACATGGCATCCAGTCGGGTGAATGAGTATGAGGGGTTACAATGGTCATCTGACTTGTCCAGATCACATATCCAGCCGATCTTTATTCCGATCACTCCTCCCTGACAGACATTTTCAAAATGAGAGAGACACACAAATGAGTGTGTTAGTGCCCCACCCTGTCTCCTAGGAAATACATGACATGCACCCAATTTGAGCTGGCTAATGTGTTTGTGAGAAATCGTTAAAGTTAAATACCACAACTCCACATTCTGAGTATAGGTGCAGCCCTCTAAAGGCTCTTATACACTTGCCGTTCCTGACCTGTCGCGCGACAATGTCACATCAAAATGATGTAGATCTCGCTGGCGACGTCGTGCACCACTCTTTTTTTTTTCAGCTGAGCGCTCCAAAGCGGAAACAGGAAGATGGACGAGTTCAAGGGCAAGCTTTCTGAGCAAGTGCGTCTCTATAGGCATCTGTACGATCCTTCAATGAAGCAACACAGAGATACCCAGAGGTGCCAGAATTCATGGCGAGAAATGTTGGAAAAGAGGAGGCGATATCCCGGAAAATTTGGAAGAACCTCCGCGACTGATTTGGAAAATCAAAAAAGAGGTCTGCCATTGTTTACCCTTTTCTTCTTCTAGTGCGTAGAAATAGCAAAGTCGATTGTGTCGCATGGGTAAAGTAAGATTTTATTGTGTGTCTTTTTAGCTCCCAGTGTGTTTTTAATTTACAATATTTCTGATTTTAGTGTGTAGTTTTTATTTGTGTTTTGCACACTGGGAGTGTATTGTGCTTGTGTTGGTGTTTATTTTTTTTTTTTTTTTTTTTTTTATTTGGTTTGTTTTTTTTGGGTTGTTTTTTTTTTCGTTTCTTTAGCTTGTGTCAAGTGGGTTTATTGGTTTTTTTGTTTTGTTGGTTTTTTTGGGGTTTTTTTTTTTTTTTTGATGTTTTTTTGTTTTGAGGGTTTTTGTTCTAGTTTCCTTGATTGTGGTGGCTTTGCTTTTTCAATTTTCCTTACACCCCCTTTCTTTAGTCTCGCCCAGGGGTTTTTGCGGGTGGGGCGGGGTTTGTTAATAAGGTTTTTTTTATTTTTTTGTTTTTTTTAGGAGATTTTTTTTTTTGGAAAGGGTTGTTTTTCTTTGTTTTTTTTTTTTTTGGGGGTTCCCGCCCCAGGCGAAGGAGGTGTGTTTTTTTTTTGGGTGGGGTTGGGGGAGGGGAAAAGAAGGAAAAAGGTAAAAGGGGGTTTTTTTGTTGTTTTATTTGTTTTTCTGGTTTTTTGGTTGGGGGGGGTTCTAAAAAAGAAGGAGGGGAGGAGAGGAGCTCTGGATTTAGGAGCCTCCCTCCTCTGTGCTCCCCTCCCGGGGGTTTATTCGCGCGCGGAAAACTAAATAGGCAACTTTTAAGGGGGGCCAGTACGGGAAAAAGGGGGCCCCCCCCCGTCCAAAAAGAAGACAAGACTTCAACTGCATGTGACTTGCCGAGACGTGTCCCCTGCCCCATAAGACATGGATTCTCCGACCGAAATGCAACTTCCCTCTGGTGTGACTGAAGTAGAAGCCGGTGACTGGGAGGTGAGATCAGAGCTACTTGCATCAGGCCCTGTTCGTACGCCGTCTCAACAAGGATCAACATGCAGCTCTCGAAGGAGCACCGTGCTAGCAACCGCTAAAGCCAAAGCTCAAGCAGCAAGAACCAAAGCAGCCTTTTCTGAAAGGGAAATGGCACTGAAACTTCAGAAAGCTGAATCAGAACTACAAACTGCCAAAGCAGAAGCCGAATTAGAGGCATTGCGGTGTAGAAAAGAAATGGAGGCTGCAATAGCTGAAGCAGCAGCTCTTCAAGCAGAATTAGATGACGACAACAGCCTCGGGGAACCGGGGTCAGAACTGAACCAAAAGGTATTTCTCTGCACGCAACGTGCCACCGCAGAGAGACATAAAGCAAGAAAGCTATAATATTTCGCCCAACCTGCATAGCCACCTGCCTCCCACCAGCATGTCCTCCAACGCCGCCAGCCATAAGACCTCCAGCACAGCATCCAGTGACATCGCCTGCACAGCTACCGACATCCACCAGCAGAGTCCCTGAGACGGACACCAGCTCCAAGACAGTTGCCACCGCCGTCACAGGTACCACTACAGCCACAGCAGCCATCCATGCGACCAAAATGATTTGGAAAATCAAAAACCCCCCCCCCCACCCCCCCCCCCCTCCCCCCCCCCCCCCCCCCTCCCAGATTGCCCCAGTCACTCCGAGAAGGACAAAAAGGAGGTCTGCCATTGTTTACCCTTTTCTTCTTTTGCACAAATCCGAAACCTAGTGCGTAGAAATAGCAAAGTCGATTGTGTCGCATGGGTAAAGTAAGATTTTATTGTGTGTCTTTTTAGCTCCCAGTGTGTTTTTAATTTACAATATTTCTGATTTTAGTGTGTAGTTTTTATTTGTGTTTTGCACACTGGGAGTGTATTGTGCTTTTATTCTGAAAAGCCCATACGGATGTGACTCCCCACGGCGTAATCGCCTGCACCTGTGGAGCGTCAAATTGGCAGACTTTAAATAAGCTTCCAGAGGAAGCAGGGCGGAAGATGGATCAAGCGGAAAGGGCAGGAAGCCGAAGCAGGAACAGAGGGGACCGATCGCAGTAACCACGCTGGAGCTGTCGTTGGACGGAGAAGCCAGGGACTAACTGTTAGAAGGCCCCATGTAGAAGCGGGCAGAGTATCTACGTGAGTAGCGATCTACGACTAAGCGTGACCCGCTGTATGTACGTGTGTTTAAAAGTGCAATGACTGCCGTCTTGCTCTCCCGATAGCTCGAGGTCAGCGCCCTGAGGAAGACGACGGTGCGGTGCAGCGGCGTCGAGAGGCCGCAGGACCGAGTACAGATTGTATCAACGCTTTCTAGGGCGACGGAGCCACCTCCGCCGGCGCCCCGAGTGTGTGCTGCAGTCCCTGCCTTTGCAGATAAGACTCTAGACTGTTTTATTAGACTCCCTCACCCCTCAGTTTTTAGCTTCCCTCATTTCAACGCCCTTTTATTATTTGTCTTACCATTTTTAGTCTTTTACCCGTGCTTTTAACCTGATTTTATTCTGAAATAAACATCAGCGTTTCTGCTCTAGGATCTGTGGTCTTCTTCGTTTTAGCAACTGCTCTCTTGCCTGATTTTAAACCATACAGTCATTTTTAATACACCTTTTATGAAAATAACAAACATACATCATAGCCCCTGCACAGTAGCCTTTCCTCAGTTCCTTCACCTGTGTTCAGGAGAAGACTGCAACTAGTGTCACCACCACAGCGCAAGTATAAATAGTTATACTTATATGTTATAGTCACATTGTCGCGCTACAGGTCAGGAATGGCGAGTTTATAAGAGCCTTAAGGCTCTCTCTGGTGGGTTGATCCCTTCTTGTACAGCACTTAAAGGACAATTTACAATTGAGTGGGATCTAGCAGTGAAGTTGCAACCAACTGAATACCGCTCACCTTCCAAGCGCATAGGAGAAACTGCAAATAATGCAAAAAGTTCTATCTAGAGCAAAGACATGGTGGCTCAACATGGCAGACTCTGTATAAGACGACCCACCCCCCTCTGTAGATAAAAACAGCTCTTTCTAAGGTAACAAAACACAAGGATTCTAATTTTCAGGTGATATACACTAATGAAAATGTACCTACTGGATCTTGCACTTATTTTTGCCATGGTAATGGCTGCACAAGTATATGCAGTGGCCGGCAACTCATTAAAACAACTTTGTTTTGATATGGGACTTTTCTGGCTTTATTGCTGAAAACATCATTGAATTAATTAATTAATTAATAAAGAAATGACTCATAAAAACGTCTCTGACTCTACCTTGTCTGCCAGTTTAGTGAAGTTCTGCTGCGCGTAGCGGACCACATCTCCCACTCTGAAGATGGGGCAGTAGGTGTTGTTGATCATGTCAAAGTTACATTTCTTGATGTAATCGTCAGTGATGGTTGAAAGGAAATTCCCTCTGCACACATACAGACATATCATTATATCACAAACCAGACTCTATTATCAGTGTCATCATCATAGTATTTAAAATCACAATTGTCATACTTGGTGTAGTTGAAGGTTGGGAAGCGAATGCTATTCTTAATGAAAATGGTGAAATTCTCCACTTCCTTCATTGGCGTACTGAGAGAGAGGGGAAGGAAGAAAAGAAAGACATAAAAACAGCATTGTGTTTAAATTTGGTATTTTCCTCGAGCGTCACAAACCCAACACACAATTTCCTCTTTTATTGTGGTGTAGAAGGATTCAGATTTCTACCAATGGACACAATTCTGTTCACCTCCTCTGTATTGGGTCATCAAAGAAATATAGTGGCATGTTGATGTTTCAAAAGCTGAAACAAAATAACCAAATCACCTGCATGAACAGGCATTAGGCATTAGGTATTACTAGTGGTTAGTGACGCTTTGAATAGTGCACTGCCCCAACCAACTCAGTCAAAGTTGTCAAATACTGTACAGTCAGAGGTCTGCCACAAAATATGACATGGTAGGTATCCCTAGCATAATTTGCGGATGCGCCCGCTGTCGAAGTCAGGCGACATAGTATAATGAGTGAGAAAGTCTGCATATGGAGTTGTGTGTGTTGGATGGATGGCTCAAACACAAACACAGGACTTAAATCCAATCCTAATTCTTATCAAGTAGTTTTTGTACCTAAACCTAACCAAACTGTGACTGTTTCCCAACATTAAATGAACAATATGCAATTTCTGCCACTAGGAGATATTTCAATCATCACAACAATAACAAAAAAAAGATGATGTTGTGAAGTAGCGATGGATCATGGGAGTTGTTGTCTTCACCACCATTGCCGTCACTGCAGTGCGCTTCTCCCAGTTAGGATATCTTCAGGGTTCATGGTTCAGGAGGTTTCTGGCCCCCCTTTCCCCACAGAAAGCCTCCCCCCCCCAAAAAAAAAACCCCTGATTAAAACTGCTAAAAAAACTTAATAAAACAATTCCACCTTAAAAAGCACTGCTTCTCCCACGCTGTTGGACAGACAAAGGACGTCCCGGAGGGGCTGCGAGCCGAGCTAATGCTAACGTTAGCTCAGCTTGTTTCTCTGATAACTTAAGATCCAGACGTCCGATTGTGGAGCAAAGGTCCACTGACCAAGCTGCAGTATTTGACAAGTTGATGGTGAGAATGTGTTGGCCAAACATAGCGACTGAATTGAACTGCACAGCATGACTTTTTTATCAAGATAGCCCTGTTTCAGGTCAGTATTCTTATTTAGCATAACAGTTCAGTACAGAACAGTGATAGCAAAGCCTTGTAAAGAGCTCTATCACATGCACAGTATCGTCTTACGTCTTGATGGTGTCGATCTCAGCAGGACACCATCCCTTTATTTCACACATCTTGATGCTGACGTTGAAAGGAACACATTTCCCTGTAAGAATTCCTGAGCAGCACAAAAAAAAAGCTTTTAGTCTAAGAAATAAATACTACTTCTAATATATTAATTCAACACACATGCATTGAAAGACTGAAGAGCTCACCATAACCTCCTGGCTTGTTGAGGTGCCTTGTGCAGTTACTGTCGTGGGTACAAGTATACTTCTTCTCACTCTGGGTAGCACACAGTAACACAAAGACACATTAAAGCTGCATTCATCATTTTTTTTATATTAACAATAGATCAATGTGAAATGTTCAAAGGGATAGTGACAAACCAATAGAAAATTATCACCCAGCACTGCAGTCCTCCTCTAACCTTTTTAGCATCTTGAAGCTAATGCTTTTGGTTCTACAGCTAGAGATTTATAAATATCATTTCCATCAGCAGCAGGCAGCTGTTTTCAGTGAAATGACTCTAATAGACCCAGTGTACGCAACCTGCCCAACACCAAACAGCAGATAGATAAAGTTCCCAACAAAGTGAAGCAATTAGCTGCTAACTGTAATAAAGGTGAAAAAATGAACAGGAGCCAGAACCTTCAGCTACCAAGCTCCTCTCCTGTGGAACCAGCTTCTAGTTGTGGTTCGTGGTTCCACATTCAAGAGTAGGCTTAAGACGTTCCTCTTTGATAAAGCTTATAGTTAGGGCTGGATCAGGTGAGTCCTGAACCATCCCTTAGTTATGCTGCTATAGGCCTAGACTATCGGGGGATTTCCCATGGTGCACTGAGCTCCTCTCTTCCTCTCCCTCTCTTTCTGCACAAATTCATTAATGCATGTTACTAACTTCTCTTCTTCCCTGGAGTTCTTGTGCTTTCTTGTCCACAGGTTCTCATGGATCCTGGTGGAGCCTCCTGCCATGGTGCTGCTTGACTGCCATTGCTAATGTTACTGATATTATTGTTATAATTATTTACTAGTATTATTACTAGAGTTACTATTATTACTATAATCACTGCTCATTGTCCCCCATCGTTGCTGTTGTCACCGTCATCATCAGGGTGGCTATGGCTCAGAGGCAGAGCGGGTTGTCCCCTAATCGGAAGGTTGTTAGTTCGATGTGTGAATGTGTATGAATGAGTTAGTTTCTGTTCAATGGACTTCGCCATCGCTGAGTGAATGTGTGTGAAAGGGTGAATGTGGCATGTAGTGTAAAAGCCCTTTGAGTGGTCGGAAGACTAGAAAGGTGCTGTACAAGTACAGGTTCATTTATCATTTACCATCTTCATGTTCATCAACATCAGTCACTACTATTAGTGTAGTTGTTGCTACTGTTGTTGCTGTTCTCTCTCTCTCTCTCTCTCTCTCTCTCTCTCTCTCTCTCTCTCTCTCTCTCTCACCCCAACTGGTCGAGGCAGACGGCCACCCACCTAGAACCAAAGGGTCTGTCCGAGGTTTCTGCCTCTTAAAAGGAAGTTTTTCCTTGTCGCCGTTGCCAAGTGCTTGCTCATGGTCGGTTTCTGTAAATAATGCTATAAAAGAGTTCGGTCTAGACCTGCTCTATTTTGAAAAGTGTCCTGAGATAACTTCTGTTATGAATTGGCGCTATACAAATAAAATTGAATTGAATTGAATTATACGATTAGGTACAAAAACTACAACTGTGTGTTACGTTACGCACCTGAAGTAACTTACACAAATAAAATTTAACTTATTTAAGTTAACTTCTGTTTCTCACTTAAAATTGTTTACATGAACAGCAATCTCCAGCGTTAAAGTCCTGAGTTTGCTTGAGCCATCCATCCACCCCTCCACCTCTATATGTGTCTTTCTTGCTTTTTATACTACGCCACCTGACTTCAAAGGCGGGCACGTCCACAAATGACACTAGAGCACTTTTAGCAATAACAGTAACTGTGAAGCGGCAGAATGCACAGAATGCAATGCAGAATTTAGAGGTTGCATGAACGTGTCAAAGTCAAAGGAAAGATGTATGTATGTACAGATGTATAGTTTTGCAGTGATAGTAGCTGACCTCAGGACAGTATCCTTGGACTTGGTTTTCTGTTGTGATCATTTTGGTGATGATGCAGAAGACTGAAGCTCCCTGCAGAAAACACATAGCACATCACTATCACTGTATCCGACTGTCAGTCATCTATTCATTCATCCACCCATCTATCCCTCCATACCTGCGTAGGAGTGACATAGTCTGCAACGTCCATGACCTTATTGTTATAGACTCCAAAACCTTTGACCTTGGTCATCACTGAAGATTCAATGGCTGTGTCTCTCACCTGGTAGGCCTTCTCATAGAGAAACACCCACCTGAAGCACACACACAGAAATAACACAAAATGTGACATTGAGCTAAAACTGACATAAGATTTGTTATTTCTCACACTCTGAGCCAGAAATTTTCACTTCAGTAGCTATGAGCTATGAGGGTGTGATCAGTGGGGTATGGATAGGAGGGAGATAAATAGCAACGATCATTGCTCTCTGCATTCTGCTCCAGTACTGTAAACTGAGACTCCACTACAGCTGCTAATTGGGAGCAGCATACCAATCCAAGAAAGGCAAAGGCAGAGGAAGACACACTGGCTAATAAATCACTACACAACTACAGCTAATGGACTCTTAAAAATGAATGATGTATTTAATTGACTTATTGGTGAATGATATAAATAAAATATGTTGACTAACATTAAGTATCACACACCTTTACATAGCTACAGAACAGAATAACTACTGTATTACTGTAATTTGAATACATAAGTGAGTCAGGGGAACTCTAACCCCCGTAACACACTAATAATTATAGATTGGATGATTAATTAGAAGAAAAATTGTTGATTTTTGTTCCTCATTGCCATTTCGTCAAATACTGATGCTGGGAATGAGATTCAACAATCAGCTATCTGCAAGCCATTAACCCAAAGTGTCTTTCTATCTTTCTCAGCTCTGATTGGTTGTTTTCATTCAGGCCTGGTGAATTCTTGCAAATGCCATTAGGAGCACTAGGAGGAGCCAGATGAGCCTGATTTCGTCACAGATTATCTGTCTCATGTTCTACTGTCAGGATATAGTGAGAATTTCAGCAAACATGACAAAAAGTTATTTTTATAAAATGTATAGTTATATTACCTACTGCAACCATTAAATTAATCCCCAGCTGTTTTGATAATCAACTTATCATTTTAAGTCACTTTTTTAAAGAAAAATGTCAAAATGTATGCTTCGCTGTGAATATTTTCTTCAGTCCTAACTGAATATATGTGGTTTGTTGACAAAACAGAACATTTTTGGGCATCATCTTGGGCTTTGGGAAGCACCATTTTCTGGCATTTTATGGACCAGACAACTAATCGATCATGTAAATAATCATTAGTTGCAGCCCTAACCCACATACTCTGTATTTAAAATAAACTGTAAAATGTCTGAAACAGAATACTTGAATCTTATTGTTAGTGAGAAATGAATAACTTTAATATTTAACAAAAACAAAAAACTAATATATCTATCACATCAGAATGATTCCCCAGTCATATAAAACATTAAGGTAAAAAAAGATTATTTAATCAGATTAATCAGGGACTGTGCTTTAATAATCAATACATTAAATACAAATGTATTTTATTCCTGCTATTGTTTCATTCAACTAACAATACACCAGAGTGAAGGGAAATACTCACCCAATGAAGTAAGTGATGATGAGAAGTTGGACAACCCGGTTGATGATGCCGATAGTCCAGCTCTTGACCACCACCGACTTGGTGGTCTCATAGGTGAAGAAGTCTGTTATGCAAGACCACATCCTAGCAGTATGTGTGCAGTAAATATAATCTCTAGTCTTTGTGTATTTTCTGGATGTGTTATGATTAATATAGAAATAAGAAGCAAATTAGAGAAATATTAAGAGCCACTATGTGTGGATTGTGGATGTAAAGGCTATAGCAATTACAGATTTCGGTCCTCAAATCTGGATGTCCTCTTCATTATTATTTTGTGTTGCATAAAAAAAAAAGAAAGATTAAAATTTCAGGTCCAACACTGAGAGAAGTATCCAGATATCCAAGAGCTCCTTGAGGAAAAGGTTGAGCTGTCTCTGAAAAACACAGTGAAGAATTCCCCGTAGCTCAGTGCCACCAGTCTTCAGCTGATGCTCTCTTCCTGTAACTTCAGACTTCATGTATCATGACCATTAACTCAATAAGTATACAGCTTTCTCTCTTTCTCTTTGTCCTTATCTCTAACTTCATTCATTCTGCCAGATTCTTCCCTCTCTCCCTTCTTTATCTCTGACTCTACCCCCTCGATTATCTTAATGACTCCTCAAAATTCCCCCTCCCTCTTTCTGCATCATGGACTTTAAAACTCCAGTTTTTTGTGCACAGCATGTTGGGTTGTTGTGAGCAGCGTTACAGTATAAAATCCTTTCAGATGTATTAACATTTTTTGTTGTGTAAATCATTATTTTAATAATTTTGTGTAAATACTGGGAGTAAAGTCAACGCATATTTAGTTTGCATTTATGCCAAGCTATGCTGGTTTTCGGTTTGGCCTACTTTTTTTTTATTTTTGGGAATTGCTGCAGCCGATTGCTTCTTAAAACCTGCTCCATTTTTGTTTTAATCTGTAATTTTTTCAGGTTTTTTTGCTGAAACATCATTTAATGGTGTCTGATTGGGTTTGATTTTAAAGGGCTATACCAAAATTGTTCAAATTGACTGGATCAGAAGATTCTGACTATGGCAAAGGCTGTGCAGTCATATGCTGCGGCTGGTAGGCTTGCTCCTTCAAACTGTTATGGGTTTTAATCTGTTTTCGGCTTTATTGATGAAACATATATTGCTTATGACAGAAACAGTCTACAGTGATTGGAAAAAGGAAGTTCTTTGAGATGATCCACCCAGCCAGATCAGCAGGACCAGCGCACCACGGCAGGAGCTGTCACCCCAAGAGGAGAGGAAGAGCCAGATAGGAGCCATGCTTGACCAGCTTGGACTTCAGGCTGCTCTCCTGGCCCAATATCCAGTCTTGATAAAATGGCAATCAACGGAAAAGCAGAGACTGTTGTGTCCATTGTTACAGAGACCTATCAATCCAAATTTTGTTTGGACTGCATTTCGAGCCGACAGCGCGCAAGATGAGGAGGCAGTCTCTGTGTTTACATTGATGATTGGTGCTCAAAAGTGGATTTATTTTTGTGTGAAGATGACACCATATTATCATCACTATCTTGTTGTTGCTCTTTACATAATGTGGAGGAAAATATTAGTAAATTTTTAATAGAGTATATTTGGAACAGTAACGCACGTTCTGCAGAGCCTCGCACAGGCCATTCACGCGTTGGACCAGCGTGATGCTGAAAGTAGTCGGAGGCTGGAGTTACTATTATGGTGTATCAGAACCCGTCCTAACTAAGGGGCAAAACCGTTTTAGGCGACTTTCAGACTATAAATGAAGATATAACACGTGAAGTTCACTAGAACAAGGAGAAGGCCGGCAACGGACAGGGCTCTATTGTAATAAAACGAGAAAAGCTGTTCTGGTTGGTGCTTGACTCCGTACATAGCATTGACTTGTCCGTATATGTACGCGTAATGCAATAACTCCAGTCCTAGTGGGCAAAGTAAGCACAATAGTCATATAAATAAATACCTGTTAGATGTTGCTCAACATAGACCTCACTGACTAAATAAGATTAGACATAAACCATTGTAACCGGAGGATTGGCGAAGAGGTCATCAGAAAAGGGTCGACTTGACCCTCCAGGGTTCCCGGTCAACCCTAAAATTCAAAAAGCCATTGGTGGCAATAAACTGGTGTATATTGAAATCACAAATCCCTATATCAGACTGACTGCTACAAAGACTGACTGACTTGTGAATAACCTTTATGCACCAAGTGTCTTCTAAATCTGCTATATCTTGAAACTAAAGTAATTGCTTGTGGATGAATCCGATGCCTGTGTGTGTGTGGCTGCAATTCAGTGTAAATTGCTAAGTGTGTTCTAACCCTAATTCATATGGCAAAGGGATTTAATACATGTGTTTTGTTTTGTGCTGGCATATCTAGTGTAACTATTGTGTAAAACCTTTTCTGTATATACATTCAGTTTGGTTGAGATGGTGTGAGAAACAGTTGAAATAGAGAAGTTGTTAAGTTCCAGTAACTGTGAAGAAAAATTAGGAAAATAGGGAAGATTTACTAAAATACTAAAAAACCAAATCATATGAAAATGTACATTACATATGTACGTGCGTGTACAGTAAAACTACGTCTGAAGTGAAATACCTTTTATACTTTATATCTCTAACTTACTCATTTTACAGTAAAACTATGGGTCTTCACTTTGCTGCTGCAAAACTGCAATTTCACCAATGCGTGATCAAGAACTTCCCATGCACTTCCGGCACCACAGCAAAGGGGAGTCGCAAGCTCGCTCACCCCCGGCCTTCTCACTCTCAACTGAGCACAACTGACTAAAATTTTTTTTAAACCAGCAAGACAGTATAATCAATTAGCTGTAATCATACTAACAAAGAAAATAACCATTGGTTTCCCTGTGGCAGAAAAGAGGAGCTTCAATTGACAATAAAGGGTTATGGAGATCACATTAGGGCCTCATAGTGGCTCCAGTTGCGTTACTAACAATATTGATATCAAAATCCCACGATGTAGATCACTGTGGAAGGGGGGAGGTTATCAGAAAACTGAAACAACAAGGCCATTGGTAACCATTAGAGGTGGGCGATATATATCGTTTGCGATAATATCGTCATTGTTGTTTTGACGATGTGCAAATTTCCATTATCGAGTATTTATATTACTTCGACAAAAACAATGAAACGCCTCCGGAAACTCCTCACATCCATTAATACACGGTGCAGCAGCGCTCTCTACAGCATGGCAGGATTCAGTCACACAACTAGTGGGCCTACGTGATCACATGACGTGATCACGTGACCTCTCGCTAGCAACCTCCTTGCAACAGTTTAGCAGCGTTGCGATGGTAGAGAGAAAATGCAAGCAGCTCCAGTCCCTGAAGCTACCGGTACTTCAGATGATTTAGTGCCGAGACGTTGGTCCTATGGGCTTCAGCGTTCAGAGCGCTAAGCGCCTTCAGCGGTAAAAAGATGTCAGCGGAGAAGGTTTTTTTTAGCGCAGCGCTCAGAGCGCTTCAAGTTGAAATCTGTTCAACTTTTAACACCGCTGGGCGCTCGGAAAATTAGTTTTTGAGCTCTCTCAGCGCTGTAAACGCGTTTGGTGGACACAAGTCCAGCTCAGACAGTTCTAATCACATTTTAAAGGATATCGTTATCGCCAAAATCCCAAAAGATATTGAGATATTATTTTTTGCCCATAACCCCCACCCCTAGTAACCATATGTCTAAGCTATGGTCAACAGAGTGCTAAATCAGTGTGAAATCTGTGCTCAAAACAATGAAAAGAGAAGGGAACCAGATCCCAACTCGGAGGTTGAGAGACCGGTGGAACCAGGCGACTGGGTCTACATAAAGATCTTCCGACGAAAGTGGCACCAGCCACGACGTGAGGGGCCATACACTCCGACTGCAGTCCAGGTGGAAGGAAGTACAACCTGGTATCATTTGAGCCACTGTACAAAAGCCTCGGAGAACCAAAAAAAGGGCAGTATCAAACTGATAGACAATACTGACTAAAATGACTGTGTGGTACATGCTAAAAGTCATGAGCTTTCTGTTGTGGGTGATGCCAGGCGAACCAAGACAGCTGAGGATGATGCCGTGGAGCCCAAACAAGGCCTCAGGAGATCCCAAAGGCGGGTCCCCGGCAACCATGGGAGGAGCCCAACTCAATGAATCAGATGAGTACAATGCAAAAACACTTACACCAACCCAGACAGTGCTAGAACCCATGCCAGCATTCTCAGACAAAACACCTAATTTGAGTAGCCAAAAACAGATTAGATTAAGAGTTAAAGAAAATTATAGGAAATGTGGAGTTGGCACACAGCTTGGAAATGACCAAGTTCACTAAAGTCGGTATAACATATGACCTGGTAGTTAGGTCAAGACAGTATGTGAGGGAGCAGCTGTGCGCTGTCAAAATCAATCCAACAACAGAAAAGCAAGGAACTCAGAATTGTCACATAAATTATAAAGTGGGAAAATCTATTGAAGTTGAAGTGTGGACGAGTACCCACTTTAATCCCAGTTATGAGTATAGGGTATGCCAGAGCAAGAAACCCAGAAACAAATGAGAGGAGTCAGGTAGAGCTGAAGCTTGAAAGAAAAGAGCTTATAGACCAGGAAATCCCAAATATCCCACTGTTAGACAGCGAAGTATTTGGTGTACGAATAAGGCTCTACATTCCATCACAAGATGTCTTGAGTAAGATAGATAAACGTGACATCTGAGTGTTAGAAACAAATCTGGACGACGAAACAGAGATCAATGGGCTCTAAACAGGACGGTTGAACTATTCAATGAGAAAATAGATGAACTTTTAGGTTGAGAACGACATGGGACGCATGGAGAACTGAAAAGAAGAAGGATTCCTAAAATACTGTTAAGCACCACACAGGACACAGAGTGTAACACATATAAACAGTCTAATACCTTATAACTCATATCATATATCATGGTTGTGTCAAGTGTTATAATCATTTTTAATTTTAGAGGTAACCTATAAGCATGGTATTGATCAATATATCCATTGAACACTGGTAACCAAACATAACTATGTTCAACTGTAATTGTGTGTTAACTGATTGTGGGGTGACATGCCTGCAGTGTATGGTCGCCGGCGGGAGGGGCCGCAGACCGACTTTCCCTGGACAGAATTAAGAGACATGAAAAATCAGCCGACAGGGTTTTCACGGTTTGCACACTGAGGGTGTGGCAGCTCACAAACGTGAAGTGGTATTACACCTGTATTCATGAGTAATTCATTTTTTGTAATTTAAGTATGTAAGTCACATATTCATTTGAGTCATATATGTAATCGTTGTCACAAGTAAGACCTGATAAGCCTTGTTATGTGATATCATCTGATTCTCATTCATAATGGTAAAAAATTAAAGGGGGGACTATGTGGTGGAAAATATTAGTACATTATTAATAGAGTATATTTGGAACATTAAGAACAGTTTCCTGTTCTGTAAACACTGAGCATGTCCTCTAAGGACTGATTGTAAGTAAAACTGAATTTTCAAGATGGCGTCAAAGATTCACAGGAAGCCCATAAAATATCCTAACTCCTTCATTATTTGACCTAGCCAAGTAATCTTGGTGTCTAACTCCATGTTTTCTGGGTCTATGAATCCATTGGACTACTGGGAAATTGCACTGACATGATTACATACTTATGGAATACATGATTTTGTGAGATTACTGTAAGGTTTTATCTTGTTTGGGGTGAACCAGAGATGTAAACGATTTAGCCTATGTCATGTAACTCCTACTCAGTACGTGTTTTGGGACACATACCCTTTTTTTGCTAAAACACAGACTTGACAGGAAAAGCTTAGCATTTGCACACCATTCTCTGCAGACCCATCTTTGAGAAACATTGTAACTGGTGTTGTTGCCAAAGAGGAGGTGAATGTGCATGAGTTTGAGAATGTTGGCAATGAGATCATTGAAAAGATGATTGGAAAACCCATTTTTGGAATATCCTTTAAACGGAAAGACCGGGCAAAAACCCTTGCAGATGACTCCACCATCAAAGTTGCCCAAGACCGAACCATTGATCCTGCTTTGCTGTTCCAACGGTTCCTGATCATGTCGAAAACTGGAAAGTTTTCACTAGAAGATGTAATGAGCTATGAGCTCTGCTCATTTCCTGCAGCCCTGTTCGAAGCCCCAACTAGCGCAGGCAGTCACTGAGTTCTCAAGCAAGAAATCTAACAAAACTGTCCTGGATTCCATCCCATCAACTGAGCATTATGTTCTTGACGGTAGCACCCTGGTTCACCGCTTGGCATGGAAAAAGGGTGACACTTGTCATATGCAGACTTTACCATACGCCATTATGGTAAAGCAACAGTCGTTTTTCATGGCTATAGCAAAGGTCCTTTCATCAAAGACAATACGCATCAGAGACGTGGTGAAAACACTCACCCCATCGTTAACTTCAATGCAGACACTGAGTTTGTGGGAAGAGAGGATGATTTCCTTTCCAGATCTTGCAACAAACAAGGACTTATCAATCTTATGACCGAGGAGCTGGAGAAGAAGCACTGTTATCAGTGCGTTAGGTGATGCAGACGTGGACATCAAAGCTGCAATCAAGGCCTCAGAACATCACCCCACAACCTTGATAGGGGAGGATACAGACTTATACAGACATACTCATTCTTCTGCTCTACTATGCTGGGACGATCAATAAAGTCCAAAGCTACTTAAGTGTACAACATCAGTGAGATGAAACAAGTCCTGGGTAGTGACTTGTGTTCCCAGTTGCTGTTTATTCACGCCTTCACAGGATGTGATACAATAAATTTTTAGTGTTGGCAAACTGGTGAATGGTGAATCAACCATCCAGTCCTGTGCAAATGTGTTTCTGCTCCTACATCAAGCAAGGAATGTCATAGAGGACCATGGGACAAAGGCAATGGCAGTGTTGTTTGGCGGAAAGAGTACCAATTCACTTGCCTCTTTGCGCTACAACAAAAAAAATAAAAGGGGTTAGCGGTACTGAGCCTTCACGTGGAATGGTTATGAACCACAGAAACCACCAACACTAGGCAAGAAAGGAGAAATATGAAACTAATTAAGGGAAATTGTACTTATTTTTCACATAAATGGAGTAGTCCATTTAGGAGTAATGGTCATTTTAAGGACCTGACGGCTGCCATTTTGTAAAAGGGGGCCTTTCTTGGAGTTAACTTTGGTAAACTTTTAGTATGTTTTTAAGTACATCTGATACTACTGTAAACCACTGAGAAACCTTTTGTTAGAATTCTTTTGGGGTCAAGCCATATTTACAGCTGACTAATCATTGAGAGGTATAAGACTAGAAGCCACAATAGAGGTTTAGGGGTTCTGTGGTTGTTCTGTGATTGTACTTTTCTGAAGAGTTGTTGGAACTGTATTGTATCGATTTGAATAAATCCCGCAAAGGCTGTTCACAAACTTCTGTCTCGATTCATTTTTCCAACAGAATTATTTCCTGGGTGTATATGTATGTATAAGTTTATTTTATTTTACTTAAATTGTACTTTATTTACTTTAAAATGTATAACATACATTTAATATAATGAATACCATTAATGTAATAGTTCAAGTAAAAAATCCAAATGACAGACATGCAGCCCTATGCAGTCATGGGGGATTCCAAAAACCATGACCCCAAAACCGTGATATGAACTGAACCATGGGTTTTGTGAAGCATTCCATCTCTATTAGACACCATACAGTAAGACACTATTTAGTGTCTGTGTGACATTGCTAACATACTGACACATTATATTGAAATGATTAGTATAATTTTAGGACTTCAGACATATTCCCATACCAACATAATCCCCCTTACACAACTAGTTAGCAGATCAATTCTACGATGAATATTTAATCATTCAAACTGCATTATATCCATCATGTCAAAGGTTGACCACAGTGAGTGGAGCAGACCCCATTTTGGATAAGAGGCTACCATCAGCCCCATGTGCCCGTCTCTACATCAGAATACACCACACAAACCATATCCAGGATATAACATTTCACACTAATTCAATCATAGCTGCCTTCAGTCTCAAGCCATCTAGACTCTTTGAATGCCTCCATTAAACAGCGGTCACTTATGATGAGTCAATAATGGACTGCCATTGGATGAGAACCAGGAAGTGGTAAAAGATTATTGATTATTTCACTCTCCCTCTCTCCCTCTTTCCCTATCTGTCTCTCTCTCTCTCTCTCTCTCTCTCTCTCTCTCTCTCTCTCTCTCTCTTCCTGGGAGAAGATGAAAAGGATAAAAAGGAGGAGAGAGCAGCTTGGGAATATGGAGAAAAACAGTGGGGATGGGGAAAGCATGGAAGTGAATGGTAGGGAGAGAGCAAAAGGATGGAGAGCAGGGTTGAAACCACATAAAATAAAAGCTGAGCACACAGGAAACCACTTTGTATATGTTATTCTAGGGTCGTCAGTGTGATTGATGACTCATGTCCAAGAAGATGTAGAAGAACACTTTCATCATCCAGTCATGTATAGTCCACAGTGCACTACAGCTAGAAAATGATTTCATGTAATTATTAACATTACATAATATTATCCTCTTCTTCTTAACTTTTGTATAGGCTGTAACTGACTTGTATACACAGGTGAAATCTCTGGGCAGAAAATATGGTCGACATCTTAACATTACATTGATGCAAACCACTTTCCCTCTTCTTACCGGATTGCTGTTTTCTGTATGTTACACATACAACATCCCAGTTATTGCACTGGACTCCATCCAGTGCAATAACTGGGATGTTGTGCCAGGTCTGTTTATTTGTTATCGTCATATGTGCCAGGGAAATTTTTTAAATACACTTGGTGAAAATAACACTTGTATACCACATACAACAACACTGCATGGGACTAAAATAAAGTGGGCATGTCTGCAAGACTCGAGGGTACCCATACAACCTATTTTCATTCAGCTGTCTTGAGGTCAGTGGTCAAGGAACTCCTTTGAAAATGGCCATACCAGTTTTTTGATCGCCAAAATTTACCCTAACTTCGAAATGTTATTTATGCCCCTTCCTGACAAGCTAGCATGACATGGTTGTTACCAATGGATGTGTTAGGTCTTCATATGTTACCAGTATCTTCCCTCTAGGTACAAAACACCCACTACAGCATCTGAAAGAAAGGTGCAGAGTGAAAGAGGCAAGGATAATCGGGTAGCCCAGGCCTTTCCTCTGGAAACGCCCCTGCTATGTAAAACACTTAAGAGAAATTGTAAATCTGTCTTAAGCATTCCCTTGATTTCAATGTTAATACATAGACAAACACACACACACACACACACACACACACACACACACACACACACACACACACACACCTTAGATCAGATTATATGGTAAGTGATCTATCTAGCTGGAGGGATATGGGAGACACAGAGAAGGAAATACCAAGGAATACGGCTGCAGAAAAGGTCAAAAAGATTTGTATTGATTTTGATAATTACAACTAGTGAGAGAGAGAGTCCTCTTCCTATCACCCATCACCATCATCATCATCATCATCATTGGGTTAACTTCATCATCATGACCATCATTTTTTACTTCAGTTCCATATGACTGAAGCATTAGCCACAAAGATCACATCAGTACTCTTTTATCTGGACCCTGCGATCACTTTGTGGAAGCTAATGGGAATCCAGATTAAGAATCAAGTACAATGATTGTCTCCTTTCCGCTGTCTGATGGGTGGAAGTGGTGAAGAGTCCAGCCATCACTGCTGAGTCCAGCTCTCTGGATGGAGCCTAATGGAGCAAATAAATCTGTGAACAAAACTAAATGAAATAGTTATTAAAATCTATATTATTATTTAAGGTCTAAACTTTGAAGACCTGAACACAAGCTATATTCACAATTTAAGTCTATGCTAAACCGCCTTGTACTGCATTAGAAGAGGGTTAGGGTTAGGGTTAAGAGCTAATAAAATGAAAAGCTGCTAAAATATCAGGAAAACTCATCACTGATGAAATATTTACAGGAAGTAATCTGTTCAAAATTCATCCAAATTGCTTGTTTTACACAAATTTAGGAACCACTGCAGTAGCCTACTGCTGACCTGTAATATGCACAGAAAACGGCAGGCGGCAGCAAAGAAGCCCAATAGTATGGGGTCTACCGTAGAGACAGAAGAAGACAGCGTGGGCAGTATTGTTTTGGTCGCCTGGTGTTTGCTGCAGACAGACCTCCACTGTGGGGACGTTTAAATGTGGATTTCACCTGCGACGGAGACCAGTGAGTCAGCATATGTCCCGAGTAGCGGTGAGTTGCTGATTTTGTTTATCCACAGAAAGTAAATGCATGGTTTCTGGTGTTCTTCGTCAATATAGGTGCCGTAAAATAGGAACGTTATAGAAGTCATTAATGATACAAATTACCGAAGGTTACATGTCGGTTTGAAGCTAAGAGATAACGTCAAAGTTAACTTTCACCAGTGGCGGTTAGCGTCAACACCTTGAGTTGTCAGGGATTATTAACTGTTTAGTGCATAACATAAAGTAGCTGTTCGTATTTGTTTGTATGTAACGTTATAAAACATTTTGTAAACTCTCCTTGCATTAGCTGGGCATCGTCACAAAGTTGAAAAGGTGTCTTTCTGAACTCACAGACGGGATATGTGAGACAGCCAAGCTACCAACACGATGCAACACACCATGATGTTCTGCCAGAGGTCGACTAGCTGATTCGTGGTATCACCTGTTTGAGTGCACAAGTGGAATCAAAATGTGGCAGGACTACATGGCACATTTTTATTTTGTTATTTTCCACCTCTGTTGTATACTACAGTAAATAAACCAAACAAATAGTAACTGAGAAATAGCATGCTTCTGCATCAGTGCTTTTATTTTTGATACTTGAGTATATTTTGCTTCTAACATAACATACTAAATGACTTCAGTGTCTTGTTTTAGCCACTTTCACTTAAGTACGTTTTTGAATGCCGGACTTTAACCTGTAGTGCAGTATTTTCGTAGTCATTATTACTTCTTCTACATAAGTAAGGCCTCATTTACACTACCTGGTGCAAGTGGCCATTTTACCTGTAAGTAAAGACAATCTAAGTTTGCAGGCTGTATACATTAATTTGAATTGAAGTTCATGTACTATAATTCAAACATGATGCATTTTCTATCCTTTGTAGATGCATCATTCAGTCATTCCATGTGGTGGAAAGCCTGCAGTGGAACGCTGCACAACATGCTGCAGTCAGTTCCACTGCCCCCTTTGTCCCAAAGGCATGTTTAAACCAAGCCAACCAGCCAGACGTCAGCGGCATTTGGAGGTCCACATGAAAAATGCCATTGCATTTGAAGGTAATGCCATTGCATTTTAGATTAAAGATACACACGTGCACACACACACACACACACACAGACATGGAATATGAATATTACAACTGATCATTTTGCTTATCTATATGTTTTCAGGAAGAAGAGCAGCAGGCTGAGGTCTGCCACCACTGGAAGGGGTAAGCTTTTTCACAGTATCTATTGGTCAGATACTGTTGGTGCAGCAGCTATGGTACAGACATCTTTCTGTCTTTTCCATAGGACTCGGTTGAAGATCGCAGTCTTGCGATTGCAGACATGCAACAGAGTGGGTTGGGGCCAACAAACAACTGTTCTCTGCCAAAGTGGACCTGCCTGATGTTCTGTACATGGGGGAGGAGAACCAGGCTGAGGCTGCTCTGCAGTATGGGAGGGTGTGGAAAGATCAAGTGGATGACCATGAAAAGGAATCAGTCCTGGAGCCCTTCATATTCACATTTTACACACTGAGGACGTGGAAATTCTGTGAGGAAATAATGGACAAAAGAAATAATTTGGCCTATTGTGAATGTCACACAGATGAGTGAGTTTGTGTTCGAGAATAAATGGCTACAGAACATTTCATCATGTTGTGACTTGGTGTGTTTTTTATGTTTTTCTCATTGATCACTTAATAATTCACTGGGATTATACTGTAGATACCAAGAGTTAGGGTTGTATCTATTGGTACTTGGGTGTTCCAGCAGCACAAGAACATAATTAGCATAGTTAGAACCAAAAATAAAATTTATGGTGGTTAAGAATAAAAATACAGAATAATACAAAAGAAAAACAAATTGGAAAAAAATATATAGAAAAAGAGCAGTGCAATAAAGTCAAAGTTAAATGATAATGAAAAGGCAGTGAAGTACTGTATATACTGTATAGTACACAATAAAATGTATAGGCCTGTGACATCTTATGAGATGTTGGCTTATGAGTATGAGTAATAAAGAAAATGCTTCAATTGTCCAAATCAAAAGCTTTATTTTTTTCTTTGAATTAATACAGCTTATGGATGTAAATAAAAACGATATATACTATAGACAAGGAATTGATAGATTTGACGTCATATTGTTTACTAATGAATGCATTTGTGAGGAAAGCGATTCAACCGGAAGTGCATTCGCGATTTGCATTTCCTGTCCTGACAGTGGAGACTGCAGCCAGGACCTCTGGGACAGAGGAGGGCTGTGATAGAGCTTTTATTGTTAGAATAACGAGGTAAGTTCAATACACTGAAACATTCGGTTGAACGTTAAACTCTAACACATATACGATTGTTTTGTATCGATTAAATAGACATAATGTAGCTCTTCTGTCTGTTGTGAATCGATAAAGTCGTCTGAAATTAAACCAAGTAACGTTATTAATAGACTATTGTAAAATCGTAATAACTGCTTAATGAGCTTTAACCACCAACCGAACTCCAGCGGAAGAAGAAAGGAGTGGCACTGTTGTTGTTTTTGTATCGACTTTTAATATGAAAGTGCAATTTCCGGGCGAGAAGAAAATGTGTCATTTGAATTGTGTGTTATAAACTATTTATGACCAATTATATTCATGAACAAAGCTGTATCGACACTGGCACAAACAACTTTGTAACATTAAATGGGGGCTGTGCTTCCGGTTTCAAACCGGTTGTTTTATTTTGATAGTCAGAAGCAGACGTAAAGCCATTTTCTATCACCTAGGCCTAGGGCATCCATATATGAATGGAAACTATATGTATAATACATTGTTAAGCAAAGACTCTTGCACTTTGTGCTTATTGCAATTTAAATAAACATAATGTCAAACCTTCATAAAAACTTAAAAATTGGATTTTTAGCTCTAATCTGACTAATACTACACACCACCTTCAGATATAATGAATAAAACCTTTCTGGATTTTGTGTGACCCTTATTTCCAATTTAGACAAAATAACATTTTCATTGGAAATAAAATACACACTTAAGTTGAAGTTTGATATGATAATGGCACAGATTCTGCATAATGGCCAACAACTATACAGTAAATTACAGTACAATACTGTCTGAACACCCCCACTGTTCAGGACAGGAAGTGCAGACTTTCTTTTTTTGACTGCCTTTTAATTGGAGGGAGACCAGTGAGTCAGCATATGTCCCGAGTAGCGGTGAGTTGCTGATTTTGTTTATCCACAGAAAGTAAATGCATGGTTTCTGGTGTTCTTCGTCAATATAGGTGCCGTAAAATAGGAACGTTATAGAAGTCATTAATGATACAAATTACTGAATGTTACATGTCGGTTTGAAGCTAAGAGATAACGTCAAAGTTAACTTTCACCAGTGGCGGTTAGCGTCAACACCTTGAGTTCTCAGGGATTATTAACTTTTTAGTGCATAACAGATTCTGCATAATGGCCCACAACTATACGGTAAATAATAACACATTACTCTAATGTGTTCATTTGTGGAAAAACATAGCAGACACACATTGTTGCTCCAAGTAGGCTAGTATGTGTCTTAATACATAGACATAGGGGATTCTTTAACATCCTTTTCCTTCCATAGCATCCAGGCTGTATGATCAGTACCGTGTTTGTGTGTGTGTGTGTTCCAGATCAGTCACCATGACAACCAAGCGAGGACTGATAACAGAATCGTTCAAGGTGGTGAAGAAAGCAAGGAGGGGGGGCAAACGAGAGAAGAGGCCTACTCCTTCGCCTCCTCCACAGAAAGGTGAAGAGCAGCACAGTGTGTGTGTTTCTGCCTTGTATCTGATCTCCTGAAACAGGAGGTCATTTGTAACATCACTGAAATACAGATCTCAGTCAGCATGACAAGTTCTGAATAAGTCTAAAATCTGTTTTTCATGGTCATATGTTAATTGGTTTTAGCTTCAGTTCCAGGTTTTTAATGATACATACATGTGCTGTATGTGCCCTGTACACTTTAAGATGTCACAGTATATGAAAATTGCAATGCCCATATTACATAATAAATACAGCCCTGTTTACTTACTTTGGGAGTTGACTGAATGGTTGTCAAGTGGAGTTTGGTTGTAAAAACAAATGTGTTTTTAAACATGAAAAATAATTAAATTCAATTTAAAAATTTGACTTTACTTCTCTCTGAACCTTTTTCTTGGAGCAGAGGCTGACACTGGAACGGTCCGTGAGGAGGAGCTGCAGAAGCTCAGACAGTTTGATCTGGACTGGAGATTTGGGCCCTGCACAGGTAACACACAGTGTACTGTGTGTGGATTTGACATAAAAAAAGAGATGGGATAAAGTAGTGCCAATGTAAAGCTGAAATCTATAAAATTTGCACATTAAATGTCTATAAACTCTAGCTCTATGTTCTATATGTAGTTGAGTTGTGTACTTACATTATCCCAAATGTTTCTAACAATGTTCAAACTCATTTTATTCAGGTAACGCTGCGTTGTACATTTATATGACTGTAAAACGTTAATGCTCCATAAATCTGTGGGTGGTTTTTTTACAGTCTGTTGCCGCCACTGATGCAGTATTGTATTAGTTTCTTTCTGCATTACTTTTGGATTTGCTCTTTTTGGTGAAAAGGTAACATTGCAGTGACGCTGAATCATCTTTCATCACATCTCTCTCTCTCTCCCCTCTCTCTCTCTCTCTCTCTCTCTCTCTCTCTCTCTCTCTCTCTCCAGGTATCAGCAGGCTGCAGAGATGGGAGAGAGCAAAACTTCATGGTCTGAACCCACCTGAGGAGATCAGATACCTGCTGTCGCAGACACACACCGACCCTGAGTACAACCTGAGGTAACACACACACACACACACACACACACACACGCACACACACACATGCCCAGAGCAGTAGGGGTCTGTTGGAGTATTTGAAAATGCCACATTATGCTGCTCACTTTATGTTAACTGCTATACTCACTGTGTTAACACCCACACAAAAAACTGTCAGGAAACAGACATATTTCTAGCACCACTGTGGATACACAGCCACAAACTCAGGTTTCCCTAATTCAGCCTGATGATGGAAACCATCTACTAATCTACCTGCCGTGTAATATATCACTTCACTGCAGAAGGCTGACGATAGCCTGGTTCCTTACGACACTACTGCGCCCTCAAGCAAGAGCAGGAGAGTCACACTGATCATTGTTCTTATCATAAAGGTTACATTAGAGTATCATTTGTTAGTATGTCATTAAAGGCCAGGACACACCAACCCGACGGCCAACCGTCGGCAGAAAAGCAGTCGGACTGATCAGTCGGCTCCCGTCTCCCCGAGTCGGTCAAAAAAGTGCCTCCGAACACACCAAACCGACGCCGACTGGAGCGTACGTTCTGCGCGTGCGTGAGGCGTAATACGTCCCCATAACAGCAGGCGACGCTAATCTGTGTTGTCACCCAAAAAAAATGAAAACCGTAATTGACGGATCACTCTAGACCTAGTAAACACAGAGCACGCTGTCGTCAGTCATTGTTTTCATCAGAGTGTTGATAGTAGTCAAGAAGGATCGTTATTGTCATTACTCGCTGAACGGAAAATACGATGGCTAATAATAACAAGATACTGGCGTTTGAGTAGTATGTTTACCATCGTCACTTCTGGTTTTCTCATGCACTCACTGATTCGCTAGTCAAGGGCTAGCACTCCACCAATCAGATTGGTCATTGAGGCCAACAGCCACTGGCCGATGATACGTGTCGAATCGGCCAAAATGAACGCCAACGCCGACTAACGACGGCACGGGACACACCGAACCGACTCGAGTCACCGACCTCGCCTGACTGTCCGACAGCCAATAATCGGATTGGTGTGTCCAGGCCTTAACACAAATGCAACATGGAAAGTGATCAGCTACACTCTTGATAATGTGACGCAAGTGTCTCTTCAGAGGTTTTTCTTATTAATACAGGCAACAACACATGTATCACACAGGACAAAACAACTAAATTTAATTAAAAACTGAAACAAATACTAGGACAATTGGACAAAAGGTCAGGAGTACATAAAAAAAGATAAATTCAAATTAACAAATTCAAATAAAACAAAACACAAAGTTAATAAGATCTCTTTAATTAAAGAGTACAGATACATAGGAAACTAAAATATACATATGCCAAGCGTATTTCAAACTATATATAGTTGACTAAAAAATGTTTTTTCCCATTTCATGCTATTTTGTTCTAATTTGCAATGGTTAATGGGAATTATGTTTTCCAAAAGACATTGATTTTGCAGTGTATTTTTAAAGAAACTAATTTAAGAAATTAACAACTAATTTTGTTGTTGATTGAACTTTAAATATAAATATTTGACCTAAAATAATAGGTTTCTCCTTAACAGTTTAATAATACAACTTGGAAAATTGTTTGTGGCCTTTTATCAGTGTCTATCTTTGAGAACACACTTACACAGCGAGGTACAGACCAGTGTGAGATTCAATGCAAGAACATCAATCAACATTTTGTATAAGTAATATTCAAATATTTTCGTTTGTTGTGTTCTTTGTGTCTTTCAGCCTGTGGAGCGAATATCCTTTGTGAGGAAGACATTGTGAGGAAGAGAAAAGAGCGCAGACCCCCCCCTCCACCAGCAAAAGTTCATTTATATCACCCCAAATCACAAATGTGTCTTTGAGGAATTCACCTTCTATCCTTAAAGGTTATAAATACGAAATGTTCTTGCCACTGGGTGCCGCACTAGAGCACCAACATCTCAGACCAGAGCAAATGGGTCCTACGGCCCACCAGACTCTATTGAGAAACCAGCATTTTTATTTAACAGATACATTTGGTTGAAATATACCTTTCATTCACCGAGTTAGATGAAAAAATATTTGCGAAACGGGCTGCTTCAGCTGCCATATAATGTTAGTTAAGCATTGCTCACAGCCAGACCGGCTTTATCAACAAAGCATAACTAAGACAACACCATAGGCAAAAGTCAGGACACCATGACTCCAATATATCTTTACATAGCATATAATTGTTTCCTGCTATATTAATGTTTAATTATCTTGTGTATGTAACGTTTAAAGCCCGAAAAACAGCCACTTGAGTTTGTGTTTTGTGGTTTGTTGTACTACCTTGTCTTCTACACATGTAGTTTTTTTTTACATATTTAATTAAAACAAATCTACCAGAACACTGTCTTGTGGTGTGTAATGGAGGGAGGGGTTAGTGCCCTGTTGACGCTGTAAAAATTAAATGGTGAAGGAGAAATACATGACAAAAATATCAAGTTTATTTATATGGCACGTTTCATACAATAGGCATAGACTCAATGTGTCACATTCACATATTTTGTTCCCGTCTGGTAACTCTCATATGGTCTGCCCACTGACATACATTTGCCTCAGTCTTTTTATAACTGACCTAAGTTAACACAGTCTCTGTTTCACTCTCAACTCCATGATATCTGGGAGGGAGAATGAGTGAGTGAATGTGTTCTCTGTAATGCTATTGGGTGAAACACTGGGAAAAGATCCGCAATTCATAAAAGGCCTGGTAACCTGTGTTAGTGGTTCAAGTGATGTCAATAAATAAATAAATAAATAAATATGGTTATTGGAACAAATTCCCAATAGTGATAATACACATACATGTCCAGTACTTCTTTAAATATGTAGGTCTGTCTTTACATACAGTATACCCATTGAGAATGGAGTCGAAAATATAGTTTATTCACTTAAGTGAAAATATAGGACGCATCATGTTTTATACATATTATGAGTAGCTGTTGAAGTTTGTTTCACAAATACAATTTAGTTTTAGACACCAGGAGGGAAGCAGGGCTGTCCGTTTGACTTTAACCGTATTATCCCACCTCCACCGCTGTTCGATTGGTCTGCACTGTCATCAAACACTCAAAACTCAACGCTGATTTGTTTACATGTCGATCTGTTGTGCGACAGCAGGCGCACTACCCGCTGATTGGTCGAATGCTCGCTGAATATGGAGAGACGAGGAGATGGCGTTCAATGGGCAGGACTTTAAAAGATTGTACACTTTGATTCGTTAAGATGTTATGTCAGTCTGATTCCTGGGCCTCTCATTGGTCCATTGTTAGGTTTCTGCACTGGAAAATTCTGCTAATCACGTTCATTACGGGACAGCAGCGTCAAGCTAGGCGGAATTAGCCACGATAAAACAAGAAGCAAATAAAAGCCTTAAACCTGGTAATCTTGGAGGAACAGCTGTCAGTCACTTATTGGTTGCGCAATACTTAATGTTTTTTTTGTAAATACAGCGAAGCAACCATTGTCTTGCAATACACGCTTAGATTGTGTAAAGACGTTTAGCATTTCATAATGCGAAGCCTTTACTTTGAAAGTTGTGACCGGAAGTTGCATTTTGTGCTTGTTGAGCTTGATCTCATAGGATGCTGAAGGCTGCAGGCTCAATCTGACCCCGCAGTCACTCCTGAAGCCAGGATAAGGAGTAATAATACCGTACTGTCTGGATAAACTCGTCTTGAACCGTATTTAGAGAAACATTTGCCTTAAAAAAGCCTTAATTTTCTTTAACTGTTAACATATTTACGACTCGGGAATAAGATACTGTCTCAATGGAGATATCGTCCTGATGATTATCCACTCATGAGCGGCTGTCATACTATCACTGAGCTACATTTTAGCCTGTTTTTAAAAATATTTTTTTTTTGCTGCTTTTTTCCCGTTGCTGTGAGTAGTTGAACACATGGTGCTGTGATACACCCTGTCTTACTGAAACTGAAGGGATAGAAGACAGACGACACACGGGCATACAACCGCTCCGGTAAGCAACCTGTTCACCTCCGGAGGATTAACGTTAGAACATAACGCTAGCTGCTAGCTAGCTAACGTTAGTTATATCCACGAAGCGGTCGCTCTCTGCTAGCTTATGGCTCCGTTTTTTAGCTGCTGTTTGACATATGGCTTATCAGCGTATAACCAGTTCATTCTGCAGCCTTATCAAATAGCTGGCAAAGCTCGTCAGTCGTGCGCAACATGTCTCTGTATTTTCCGTTATGTCATCCATTATAAAGCAGGGTTGAGGTGAGGCTGCTCCTAACAGCGAGTAAGTATTCAACGCTGCCGAGCTACATATTTTACATCAAACGTTGAGCAAATGACCGGAAGTGTCATCATTGTTAGTGTTTCGTAGACCACCAGTTCATTAGCGTAATATCTGGCCCCTGTGCAGAATGCAGGGAGGGTCGCTTTAATGTATTTTGTAGATGCAGAAGTTGCAGTGATTTTCAGGCGGTCCTTCAGTTATCTGAAACACAGGCCTGTTCCTGGCAGTCTGATTTAGGGCCTTTACCAATCATCTTATGAGAAATTCTCTCTACTATGAAGCCCCCCTCCAGCCAGAACTCAGTGTTTCTTCTCATTCCTACAGTGTGCTGTGTGAATGCTGTCTGTGCAGAGTTTGACACTAGAAGGATGTTTTCACATTCATCTGCTGAAAGTGGAAAGTGTCTCTATGCTCAATGAAAATCAGATTTTAAGGGGCGGGGCCTACCAGCAGGATCTGTGACGTCAACTTGTACAGTGTGATGTAGAAACTTGAAGCCACAAGTGCACAAACGGTGGGCTCCTAACTGGGAGAAGCTGACTGCCATGACGCCAGTGGTCACAATTGTTACTGTTTAGAGACCCCTTAGCAGCAGCAATTACATATTGTAGGTTTAAGGATTTTTTTTTGTTAAACTTATTTTTTATTGAAATTTTCTTTCAACAATTACAGTGTCAGGTTTTACACACCCCACAAAGCAAATTATTCACATATCAGTGTCCTTATTGTCCAGTGGTGATGGTGGTGTTCTCTTGCTGTGTTCTATAATCTGTCCATTTTTCCCATTTTTCCTGGAATTGTGTCTCTTGCAATCATAGTTTATGTGTAATTTTTTCAATTACAAATATTTCCTCCACAGTGCTCACCCACTGCTCCACGGTCGGGGGTTCTGCTTTATACCATAACCTTGTTATTGCTTTTTTACTTGCAGAACTTTAACAAGGTACTCATCCTCTTTTTGTATTATATCGTGTGTCAAATTTCCCAAATAAAGTATCTTACAGGACTTGGGTATCTCGTATCCTATTTTTCTTAAACCCCGCCATACTTTATCCCAATATCCTATTATCTTTTGACAAGACCAAAAAATATGCATATGGGCTACATCCATGTGTCCACATTGTCTCCAGCATGGTTGCTGGTTACATACAGTTTCCTTTCTAATGTTTGGAGTTATAAAAAATCTGACCATATTTTTCCAGTTGAATTCTCTCCAGAGCTAGTGGCCGTGCACTGCGTTTTACAAATATTAAACTATTCCTCCTCAGTTATTTTCTCCTTCAACTCTTTTTCCCATTTTTATTTGATATAAAGAGAGGAAGTCTTCCTGCATGACAACAAACCTCTGTATAAGGTTGAGATTACTTAACATTTTTTTCCTTCATAGGCTTTCAAAAACACATCAATAACTTCATTGTCAGTGTCAGTTTTTATCGCCTTCTCATAATCAGGGTTTCCCGCAGCACACGCCTGCCGCCTTAACTACGTCGTCGTCAAAAAAAAAAAAATAGGCCGAGTGATATGAGCCATATGAGTGATATCTGCCGTGTTACTCTATCCTGTTTTCTCCCTTTCGTTCCAAACCGTGACCAATGCCAGTCTCCCTTCTCCGCAGAACGCATTCAAAAAATAATGAAAAACGTGCCATGAATCGGAAAATAATCAGTTTTTATAATCTTTAAATATGTGATATGCCTCCGAATCGTGTGTTGCGTCCGAACAGTGGCATCTGGTGGTTGTCATCGCGCTATCTATCATCGTTCGCCAAACATTCTACAACATTCTTTATCCGGGTAAAAAGAAAACATTTTTGGGTGAAGTCGTTCATCTGGCATTTGGATAGCCTGTCGCATCGAGGTAAGATAATTATTCTAAATGATCTAAATTCTATAAATACTTGAATAACCTGTAAACTGTTCGCTCGAAGTATCTGAAATTATTATGATAGGCGTAATGTTTTCTTATCAAGGCTAGTTGCGTTTACACGTGGTTGCCTTATAGCTATACGTTTGATGATTGCACGTGATTTTCTATCGCATTGTACACAGCCAAATGGACAGAAAAATGCAACCAAAAATTGCGGGCTTCTTCGTACGACGAAGCAGGCCTATCTCACCATCTGCACCCAGCAACACCCCTGCCTCGTTCCCCTTCCCAGATTAAATCGATTCGTCAAATTACCATTTATTCTGATCCTTGCCATTGGTTCCTGATATATTGACCTAATACAGTTTACAGATTCCTCATTAAATCCAAATTTTTCCAATACCTTATACAGAAATACCCAATTCACACTGTCAAAAGCCTTTTCCGCATCTATGCTTACCAAAATTACACTTTCTCCCTTCTTTTGTACCTTTTCAATGACATGCAGTGTCCTTCTTATGTTATCTTGTGTTTGCCTTTCTTTAATAAAGCCAGTCTGATCCTCATCAATCAGATCCTGCATAAATGTCTCTAACCTCTTGGCTATAATGGAGGTGTAGAGTTTATAATCTACATTTAAAATTAATATTGGTCTGTAATTACAACAATATTCTTTATCTTTACCTTGATGGAGATATTAGCCTCTTTCCATGAGGGAGGGATCCTGCCTTTCTTGAGACTATAGGTAAATGAGTCACATAATAGTGGGGTTAACTCTTCTTTAAATGTTTTATAAAAGGAGGCACCCAACCCATCAGCTCCTGGTGATTTCCCTGATTTTGCCCGACTAATTGCCTTTTCTATCTCTTCTACTGTTGTTTTTGAGGTCAACGTTGCATTCTGTTTTGTAACTATTGTTGGCAAATCTAATTGGTCTAGAAACTCCCTTAAGTCCTCTTCACCCACTGAGGTAGGCTGTGCTTATAATTTATTGTAATATTCCACAAATATTTTTTCTGTTTCTTCTGGTTCATATAGGATTGTATTGGTTGCAGGGTCTCTTATTTTATGTATATTATTTAATGCTTGCTGTTTCTTTATACGTCTAGAAATACTTTTAGTGGCCTCCCTCATAGTAAGTTTGTTTTATAAACCTAGCTTTCCTTTCCACCTCTTCCAACAGGATGATATCTACTTTTTTCTTCTTTTTCTTTAACCTGGTTAAGTATTACCGGATCTTTTGTCTGTTTATGTTGGTGTTCCAATTCTTTCAGTTTCTCAATTTGTATCTGATAAGTTTTTAATCTGGCTTTTTTAGCGTAAACTGTGTATGAAATCAGCCTCCCCCTTATTACAGCTTTTAGGGCATCCCATAAAATTGTTGGGTCTAATTTCCCATTATCGTTTTCCTCCCTGTATCTAATAGTATATAGTCCCGATCAACTGGATGGAGTTCTCTCCATACGTCTAATATGTCCATTTCTGACGTCACCATCTTCATATATCTATTAACTTGTTTTTTGCTTCTCTTCATACTTGTTGTGTCTAACCTGTAGTTTAATGCCACGTTGAAGTCACCGCCACATATCAATGTCCCTTCCGTTTCCAAATTTATAAGATCATTCTGCCCGCTGTATGTGCAGTTCAGTTCCCGCCGGTATCCCGAGCTCCCAGCGTAAGAGCCCGTCCACTAGCTCTGGCACAGATTTGTTGTCTTGCTCAGCCATGTTATAAATTCTCAGATTACATCGTCTTCCGTGTCCTTCCACTTTGGTCAACTTCTCTTGCAGTTTCGTTTGCTGTTGTAAGAGAGTAACAATGGCCTCTTTAGCATCCATGTTCCACTCTTCCAGCTCTGAAGTTCGAATCCTGTGTCTCAGTAATATCTTTTCGCTGCTGTTGTATTTCCGCAATGTTTTCTGCCATTTTGCGGTTCGTTTCCTCTGTGAAGCCAACAAACTCTCTCCTCACCTCTTCTTTAAATTCATCTTTGAATTTTGAGAGGTCCTCTTTCATTTCCCGTCATCGGCTAACTCGTCTTCAAACTCATCTTCTTGGTCTTTGGATGTCATTTTTTTCTTTAAGCTTCTCTGTTCTCGTCCCCCACTCGTTTCGTGTCAGTGTAGAAATTGTATTTTCAGTCCTTTCATAGTTTTGGGGGGGGCTATTGTTTAATCGACTCAGGAGCTCCGCTCTACTCTGCCATCTCACTCTGTGCCCCTGGAAGTCCTCAGGTTTAAGGATTTTAATGTGGAAATTATACTTATATCAGACTCACGTTCTTACGACATCTATACAAATAGTCTGCTTGGATCAATAACATACCTGGAGGGGCTCTTTAAACAGGAACAACAGGTAGGTAGGTCTGATTTATCACTAGGCAAGAGGTCCTTAAATTTGCACACTAGTGAATGGAGCTTGGCATTAGGTGAGAAAGTCTGAGGCCGAGTAACCTTTCAGCAAACCATGGCCTAAAAAAACAGAAATAAATCTTTTTTCCAATTTGATGCAACATGAGATGTTTTTTTCAGAGCCAGCTCACCCCCTGTCTCTGGGGCCTGTTTGTCTCCGTGGGTTCCAGTTAGTGTGGTTGCCTGGCTATACAGTACATTTGACTCCCCAGCCAACTAATGCTGCAAGAGTGTGTAATTTTTATTGCAGGCGCCAAGAAACACAAGTCAAGGAGCAGGCTATCTTTCAAGTGTGGAAAATACTGAAACACAGCCTTTTTATTGGAAATCAAATCTGTTCCAGTCAGCGTGCCCTATCTCTGATGTGTTACACAGGACTAATAAGAACTTAAGTCTGAGGAAAACACTGAGTGTTCAGACATATTTTAAACTTCTTTTACGATTATCTTCATTATTGATTAATCTGTGGATCATTATTTTGATGAATCGATTAGTTGTTTGGTCCATAAAGTGTCAGAAAATGGTGATAAATGTTCAGTGTTTCCCAACGGCCAAGGCCAACAAAGGTCTCAACTCCTCAATATGATCTTGTACTTAGTGACTAGTCAAACAAAAAAAATTAAAAAAAAAAAAAAAAATTTGTTGTTTTTTCCTTCACCAAAAAATATCAGCAGCAGCCTTATTAAAGCCATATGAGCTTCCTGTAGTAAAAAGAACTTTTTCTTCCAACTTTAGAACTGCCTCTGTAAGTTAGTAAAATGGGGCTTTGAAGAGTGACTGTGATGTTTTTGTGCTGAGGAAGCTTACTGCTTATACTGATATTGTCTTCTCTCTCCTCCTCCCTCCGTAGTGATGGATAATGCTCACACTAAGACGGTGGAGGAGGTTTTGGGCTTCTTCGGCGTAAATGAGTCTACAGGTCTGAGCTGTGAGCAGCTGAAGAAGAACAGGGAGAGATGGGGACCCAACGGTACAAGTGGAAATAGTTTTTTGTTTTGTTAAAATACGTTTTTAAGCAAATTATCAGATCCGATAGTCAGCATTATCTCAGCATTTTTAGCTGTATTGTCATTTTTTTATTAATACGATTGTCGGTAAAATAAATTAAAATTTCTCTCTGTCTGTAGACACCACTCTGTTAAAACTCACATGCACCAAGTGCTTGGGGAAGTAGAAATAACTGAACCCAGCTCTGCATTGTAATTTATGAAAGTACCGTTAGTGATGATAATTGTGTTTCTTTTTCTCCATCCGCTCTCCTTTCTATCGACCTTTAACCCTTTCTTTACTCACAGAGTTGCCAGCTGAAGAAGGTGAGCTTTCTTATTATATCCTATCCTGTTTCCCTATTTCTTTCATCATCATTACCTTAGTCTGTCTCTGTTTGTTTCTTTATTTATTTGACTGCTCATTGTGTTCCTCTGTGTCCCCGTGCAGGGAAGTCACTCTGGGAGCTGGTTCTGGAGCAGTTTGAGGATCTGCTGGTTCGAATCTTGCTGCTGGCTGCATGCATCTCCTTTGTAAGGAAACACACAACCACAAGCAAACACATACACACTGACTTATACGAGGAATCACAATCATTTCTACAAAAAGAAACACGTCTGTGTATCGTGTTGCAGAGATATCTACTGAAGTTAGTTTGCTAGCCACTTAATACCATTTTGTACCTCAGTATTCAGATAGTATCACTCATCCACCCTGGCCTCTGGCGTGAAAACCTCTTCCTCCCAGCAGTCCAAAGCACCTGTGCTAAAGTGGTTAATGCAGAGTCAGCTAATAGGACCGCTGCTAACTGTATGGCTAACTGAACTAGCTAGCTAACGGCAGCAGTTAGCGGCTACTCCGGTGAAATGCTGCCCCCTATTTGTTTGGAACATGAATTCAACAGGTGGCCAATACATTACAATTTTTACACATTGCACCTTTAACCCTGCAGTGTACACACACAAACCAAATGAGAACCACACTGAACGCAAATCTTCACCTTTCTCTCTGTCTCATAGACCCTGGCTTGGTTCGAAGAAGGAGAGGGGACAATCACAGCCTTTGTTGAACCCTTCGTCATCCTCCTCATCCTCATTGCCAATGCTATTGTAGGAGTATGGCAGGTAAACAGCATGTGCAGGTTTTGTGAATAGTGGATCATATCAACATAGCAAGGCAATTTCCAATTTCATTCAGTTCCCACTTCATGAAGGTTAATACGTTCTGTTTTTGTCGAAACATTTTTAGAGCGTTGTTTAAGACTTAACTGTATGATCATTTTGGAGGCTGCAGTTTAAGGTGCTGTAGAACTGTATACTGGCAGCTGTTTTTGACAGCATGCCTCACTAATAGTGCCTTAGTAGAAGTCCCCTAATTTTTTTCAGAGACACTGTAAGACAACAGTATGGTTCGTCTTCGGGTATTTGTTTACTTATTGTCTGGCGTTTCCTGTTGCCCTAGTTTGGGGTTTAGACAAAAGCTGTATTCGAAACCGTGTATTACATACTACAGACAAAAGCAGTACGTAGTACATACTGCATACTGCTTTTCAGTATGGGAAATGTTAAATGAATATATATATATATATATATTGTCTCTCTGTCTCTCTCTCTCTCTCTCTCTCTCTCACCCACCCCAACTGGTCGAGACAGATGACCACCCACCTAGAGCCGAAGGATCTGTCCTAGGTTTCTGCCTTTTAACAGGCAGTTTTTCCTTGCCCTTGTCGCCAAGGTCTTGCTCATGGTGGTACTGTTGGGTCTCTGTAAATAATGTTATAAAGAGTTCGGTCTAGACCTGCTCTATTTGAAAAGTGTCCTGAGATAACTTCTGTTATGAATTGGCACTATACAAATAAAACTGAATTGAATTGAATATATTTTGCAGTATGTTAGGAACACTGATAGTGATAATCAAACAGAAGATATTGGTTTAAGTATGTAGCTTTTCTGTACTCTTCAAATTTGAAGTTGTCCTCTGCTTTCAGGAATACTTGACACACTATTTCTTTACCATTCCACCTTTTGAAGTGCATTCTGACTTCTGGGGTTAACCTACTTCAACAATGCTAGAATTAGGCCGAGTATATATTTAAAATACTAATCTTTCTCAAGCAGAGAAAATGGATTGGTCAGAGAGATTATCTGAATATCTCAAACAGACCTGCCTGGCTTAGCAAGACCTCATGTTCTATAACACCTGTTACTTTCTGTCTCCCCTTTCCTGCTGTCACATGAGGGAAACCACGCTGGAGAGCGATTTGTCTATCAACAGTTGTAACTTCCACTTCAATAATTGAAAGAAACTCATAGGAACTTTGTGCATTGTTGTGACTCCAGGAGCGTAATGCAGAGAACGCCATTGAGGCTCTGAAGGAGTACGAACCAGAGATGGGTAAGGTGTACAGACAGGACAAGAAGAGCGTCCAGAGAGTCAGAGCCCGAGACATTGTTCCTGGAGACATTGTGGAAGTCGCTGGTAAGTAGACAAGTTGCTGTTAATAATAATACACTCTGTAGGCCTTAAAGGTATCTTTCAAAAGTTGGTTTCCTCCTTCAAAAAGGCAAGTGGATTTATATCTCCAATGGTAAATGGACCTGTACTTGTATAGTGCCTTTCTAGTCTTCCAACCACTCAAAGCACTTTTACATTACATGGCACATTCACCCTTTTACACACATCATCAAACAGAAACTAACTCATTCATACACCAATGCACGGCATCGGGAGCAATTCGGGGTTCAGTATCTTGCTCAAGGATACTTCGACATGCGGCACCAGGAGCCGAGGATCGAACCAACAACCTTCCGATTAGGGGACGACCCGCTCTGCCTCTGCACCACAGCTGCCCTGATTGGGGGAGTTTTCCAGTGGGGACATTTCTCAGTGGGAAAACAGCCATGGAAAATTATAAAACTAGCCCTGCTGCACTGTAAGTCAGCCATATATCAGTCAAACTGGGCATTTTGAATGTGAAAATTTCAGCATACAGAATTCCACACTGAAATTTCACTAGTCGTAAAGTTGTAAAACCGCCTGTCTTCACTAAACTAGGGTGGGCAATCTGACAATTTTAGATCAAGATTTAGAGTAGAATAGACGATAAAGCAGGGTAGGCGTGGCTACCCTGTGATTAACGAGTGACGTCACTACACTGACGGCACTGCACAAACCAAAGTCACAATCACATCTGATTTATAAAAGATGCAATTTAGTGGAGAATACCTATTGTTACTATTTTATTAATTTTATGTTTTTGGCTTCAAACTAAACTGAGGTTTTAATTTAACTATTTTGAAATTAGTGTAATACCTTTTTAATATAATAATAATAATATTGTGTTTTAATGGTGCAAATGGACAAATTCATAGGCTATTTCAAGTCTGGCTGTAGTCTACAGGGGATTTCAAAATTGAGATAAAAGACTGCAATTTAGATCATAGATCTGATTGTGATGAAATAAATCATGATATAATTTGCATACAGGCAATCAATATATTACCACGTTATTCATGCACTTGCAACATACTGTGGGCCTCCTTAAAGCTTCACAACTTGTTGATGAACAAAATAGTCAAATAATTCAATACAACACAAACTACAACCTCCATAAACAAAAGCTGAGCATGGTGAGTTTCATTAGGGCTTTCCCACAGCATGGTACGGCTCAGCTTGGCTCGACTTTTGGATATTACCTGTTACCTGGCGCTTGTTTTGGTGTCACCTTGGTCGAGGTTTCAAGGGAGCTTAGCCAGTACTATCAGGCACAAACCCATCAATAGAAACAATGGCAACGCTTTTATTCACTCAAAAATGGCAGCCTGCAAAACCATACCATCGTCAGTTGATGAAGTGCAGACGTATGAAGAACACCACCCCTTCATATCCTCTGTTATAAGAGCAGCTCCTCTTTGTGTGTGTAACCAGTGTGTGGTTGAGCAGGATAGAGAGGAGCAAAGAGTGGTGGTGAAAAGAGCAGTGAAGTTGTCAATCTGGCACTAAATGTACACTGGACGTTATAGTTACAAAGGCTGCAGCTTCTCAAGACCAAAGTAAAGCTCCCTTGTGTTGCTGGGATGGCGTCACTATGACGATTTGCTCTACCTACGTTGAGGGGTTACTATCTGCAGTGAAAAACAAAGCAGTGTAGAGTAGAGCTGTACCAAGGGTTATTATTTTATATTTTAGAAGGTTTTTTAAAGCTGCTTGATATTGTTTTGGCCAGTAGAAGGCAGAGGAAATCTAAAACAATGTTTTAGTTGCCATGTTATTGCCTTTATAAAGTTGTAAAAGCAAACAAAAGCCTATTTGCACAACCTGCAGATGTGAGGTATTATTAGCATTCAGTTGGAGCTGTCTTAGGGGCTTTTCAGATGTTGCGTCCTTTGCACATGCAAATACATTATTATGAATGGAGACACACCACAAGTGTGCTCAAAGCCGAAAGAGCTGTTTTTTCAGTGCGTCAACAGCAGACCAAGATAAATAAAATAAAAAAATCTTGACTTTTTAGAACACAGCAGCTCCACACAAATCGAGCCTTAAAGTAAAAAATACTTACTTTTTTAAATATTTTTCTATATATATATATATTTTTTATATTTTTATTGGAAAAATACAATACAATACTTCCAATCACAGAGATACAATTTACCTCTTTTTTAAAAAATTTTTTAACATATATGCATATGTACACGGTCACATATACACACATACACAGGGGCGGCTGTGGCTCAGAGGCAGAGCGGGTCGTTCCTTTATCGGAAGTTTGTGCCGCCTCCTGGTGCCACATGTCGAAGTATCCTTGAGCAAGATACTGAACCCCAAATTGCTCCCGATGCCGTGCATTAGTGTATGAATGTTAGTTTCTGTTCGATGGACTTTGCCCTCACTGAGTGAATGTGTGTGAAAGGGTGAAAGGGTCTCGTCTCGCAGGTTCTCATGGATCCTGGTGGAGCCTCCTGCCATGGTCCTGCTTGACTGCCATTGCCAATACTGTTGTTGCTGTGCACCTGTCTGTCTCTCTCTCTCTCTCTCTCTCTCTCTCTCTCTCTCTCTCTCTCTCTCTCTCTCTCTCTCTCTCTCTCACCCCAACTGGTCGAGACAGACGACCACCCACCTAGAGCCGGAGGATCTGTCCTAGGTTTCTGCCTTTTAACAGGCAGTTTTTCCTTGCCCTTGTCGCCAAGTGCTTGCTCATGGTGGAACTGTTTGGTCTCTGTAAATAATGTTAAAGAGTTCGGTCTAGACCTGCTCTATTTGAAAAGTGTCCTGAGATAACTTCTGTTATGAATTGGCGCTATACAAATAAAATTGAATTGAATTGAATTGAATTGAATGGTCGGAAGACTAGAAAAGCACTATACAAGTACAGGACCATTTACCATTTACCATGGCGGCTACAGCAGCAGTGGTACAGGTGTCAGGACCCTCCGGTACTCCCACTATCCTAAAGTTGTTACGCCGTGATCTGGACTCCAAGTCTTCACATTTATTTTCCAGCTTGGCTACGTTAGCTGTGAGGCACTCGATAGTAGTTTTCATCTCGGCGATGTAATCTCTCCGACCGTACCGTTTAGCTTGGACATGGTAGCATCGGTAGCAGCTTTATCATTTGCCAGCTGTGACTTCACCGCTTGCAGGTCGAGCCTGATAGTAGACAAAGCATCCCCGAGAGTATCCTGGAGTTCCTTTTTGAAAATATCAGCAATATCTTTCCTCAGCGAGGCCAGCAACTCGAGCTTGAGGGCAGCGATGTCAAGGTTAGCGTGCGTCGAGGCGACCTCTGCAGGAGCGGATGGCTCACTCGAGGATGTGATCGCGGTTTGTGGACCAGGCCGCAGTTGTGTCTGAATAGTATTGCAAGTTTTAGAGTTCTCTCCAGCCATTTTACGCAGTCCAGAGTTAAACTTCCCGACAAAAAGTACTGCGGAGTAAGACAATACTAAATATGTGACGAAAAAGCGCCCCCGCTTGTATACTTACTTTTAACTACGCATTTGCATGATGACTGCCTGAAAGGGTTATGCGATCGGGCGCATATATTGGTTTTATATATCGATTGGAGTCTATTGCCATTGCCTATTTTGCTAATTTAATGGCCTGCCTCTGAAGAACAAGAGCTGCTGCTCAGAGATGGACTTTCATTCAGCTGCGAATTGGAAAAACTGCTGTAGAGCCAGAGTATTTTCACATTTAACTCGGTAAATTAAGGGACGATGGGAAACACTGTACCAAGGTGAGTTCCGGGACCAGGACGATTCAGTTTTTTAAACGGCAGGTGAGCAGTGTGCAGAAAAAGGATACTGGGTTTATTACGTAATCCATCTATCCATTTTATGCTGCTTACCCGCCCCCAGGTTGCAATAACGCTACATGGCTGGAAAGTTATAAATATAGTGGTTTAATAAAGAATACTAGGCCAAATCGTTCCTTCTGGTTATACATTGTACTTCAATATTATGGATGGTATGATTGTGAAACAGGTATTAAATTAATCCTTAAAGTCTTAAATGTAGCTTTAAGAAATCCTGTCAGTAGTATTCAAAAAAGGTAAGGCTGTAAAATAAATAAATAAAATAAATGAAATGTGTACAGGCGTCAGACATTAACAGTGTCTGTAGTACTGCAGTGAGCTTGGGAAGACCTTCAAGCTCAGTGCATTTCCACTGCATGGCTGTTTAGACATGGTTGAAATAACACTGTGGCATCTTTGTTTAGTCATTCCTGGCAAACATCTTAATCTGCATGCCTGCCGCTACGTTTCTGCCCTCTCCTCTGGCTGTTATCGTCATGGAAACCTAGTAAGAGGTCTTCATAGAAAATATTTGATTGGAGTGCATCTCAAAGCTGCAATTTCAAAAGGGGTATAGATTCATGAAAGCCAAAATAGAATAGCAGGGGTCTGAAGCCATTATTTCTACCAGACTAGAACAGTATGTTAATGATATTTGTGTTTAAGTTGATGGCATTGTGTATAAACCATTTTCATCCACTCAGTGTTTTTTGAGTGCCACCCAATGTTCTCAAGTGTTTTAGAGTGGTAGAGTGCATTCAGAGCTTTAACGTGGTTTTGACTGTCAGCGTTCAGTCCTCTGGCTTTGTTGTGAGGTTGTGAAATTTGTATTCGAACAAATTGTATATAATTTCAAATTTGTCCCATTTTTGGAAAAAGTTGCAAATTTGAAATGCATTATACGATCCTCTGGCAAGGGGTCTGCTAAAGCTGAGTGTGAAGTTGCTCAGCTTGTCTGTGGTGCCTCCGCTGCCTCACTTGGGTGGCAAGCTAATGTTACTCTGTAGCTGCTTTGTACAAAGGCAATAGAAGCACACTCAGATGCTTTTGTGTCGTGATTGTCTGCTCAGGACGGCTGTGCTCATCTCTAGTGTCCTCCATTTTTGTCGTAACAATTACAATTACAACATTACTGACAAGCGAATAGTGAACCCTCTGCTGGATCAAAAGAAAAACTACTTCACACTGTCCTTTGCACTTACTGTAAGTTTTAAATTCTGTCAGGTCAGTACACTTTAAATAAGCTATAGAGGCAGGCTGTGTTTATTTCTGCTGTAAAGTTGGGCATTACGGGGCCTTAAGGAGACTAAGTTACTGCTGGAGCCAGCCTCAAGTGGCCGTTTGAGGAACTGCAGTTCTGTTACTTTTGTGTTGGCTTCATTTGCCAGCCACCGAGGTTGCCATTTGGGTCAAACTAATTTTTGAATTTATAATAATAAGTGACCACCCTAGTGACCAATCAGAGGATATGGAAAATCTAACCTGGTCAAAACAGTGTTGCTTTTATCATCTCTGCTGGTGCTTTTCTCTTGTTCACTGCAGTTGGAAAGATGTGATCAGATGGGGCCTCATCCTAGTGGTCCACCGGCTTCTGGAACATTTAACAGCTGAAAGGATTCATGTGAAAGATGCTTTGTTTTAAGTAAACACGACAAGGTCGTTTGTATCCGCAGATAAAATCGGTCCAGCTGGGTCGTATGAACACTGTCAGCTGTAGTAACAGCCTACACGCACACGCACACGCACACACACACACACGATCTTGACCCAGTAAGAAAAACTGTTGAATCCTCCTGATACCCACTGCTATTTCAGGCTGCTCAGAGGAAACAGGGTTAGGAGTGTGTGTTTCTTTGTGTGTGTTAGTGATCCAGTGCCCTTCTGTCTGTAGTAAAAGTATTGGACCTCAAGAGCATGGGAACTTGGTGACACCAATCAGAGCTAGAACAACAGAAATGAGCTAGAGGCTGTGTTTAATGTGCCTCACTGTAAAAGTCTCTCTCCAACATTTTTGGCATAATGGAGGGGCCAATGTGACTTTTTGTACATTTTGTTAAATGAAGCTGCCAGTAGTTTGTGTTTTTGGCCAATATAATGTAGCTCTGGTTCCACACCTCTAAATTGCTTCCCACATCACTGATTTTCAAATCCAAATTCAAATAGATCCAATCCAGTGTTGTGCTTATTGGTGGCTTTTTAAGATCTCTCCACTAAGACTGTTTTGCAGTTGCAGATTGAACTCCCTCGCTTCACCCTCCTCTTCCAAATGCAAAGGTGAAACTACGTTGACTGTGAAACACGTGAAAAACATGAATGCCCCTTTCTAGAGCTAGTGTTTGGTTTCTTCCTTCAGGGCTACTGTAGAAACATGGCAGTTCAACATGGAAGGCGACTTACGTCTGTAGATAAAACGACTCATGCTAGGGTAGCGAAAACACAACAATTCCTACGTTCATGTGATACATATGTTTACATTAATGAAAACATACCTATGAATATTATATTCTATTTCTGCCAATAGATCCCCCTAAATGTTACACAAAGGAGCTTTTAACTAGTCAATGTAATGATGGAAGAAAGCAAAAGGTTGGTATGTCAGTGCAGCCTCTCTTTCTTAATTTCCCTCTCTTGGTCTCTCTGACTCACTCACATATATAAACACTTGTAAACAGTTTATGAATGGCTGTGCTCTTCCAAAAAAAAGAATGTTAACCTTTCATGTGTAGCAATCTGTCCTTATTTGCATGAAGCAGGCATGTTTGCTAATGTCACAAACACATGATTTCCTTGTGGGGAAACAAGACAAACGCTCTTTGAGCGATTATTAACCTCACCAAAGTCACTCAAAAGAGTTCAGATTCAGTTTGAAAGAGACTCAAATCAGAATCAGAAATACTTTATTGATCCCAGGAGGGAAATTGTTAACAATGTTAAGGCAGCATGCAGTCGGCACATGCGCACTGTGTAAGTGTTACTAACGTTTATGCTGCCCTATGGGATTTTTGATCAATAGTGGAGTAATACAGAAGTGTATTGGTGAGTCTTATGTTAGTAATTGTGCTAGTGATAGTAAAGCATTTAACTAGCTTGCACACAAGCCAACAGGTAATGCGACAGTTGACAGGTAGCACTGGGCCACCAAAGGTCAGCTGATGTAAACATCAGTTTTACGTTGCAGGCTTCAAAATGTTCCAAGCCGAAAACTCTACAGGGTACATTTCATTTATGATGAGGTAATTTGGCCTTTTAGTGGTCCCTGGTCGGTCCCTGTCGCCATGACGCTCAGACTGCAATAGAAACGTGACAGTTTAATGGAGTTTCATAAAAGTAAAATAACTTCATCGATCAGAGGCTTATGACTTTTATTTTACTGTATTTTTGTTTTATAGCTGAAGTTTATTGTTGGAGCAGCTGATTAGAGCCCAGCCCAGAAAAGAAAGTCTTACTGTCATAGCCTTGATTTTAATGGCGTTTGATGACTATATTTTAAACATGTATAAGGTTCTACGAGATCTCTTGAACAGATTTTTAGGCAAAAGCATTTAAGAAGGGAACTTTTTTACCCATATTGCAGTGTAGGTTTCCACAGCCAAATATAATGGAACTATCATACCAAAAAGCCAAAATCTACAGTAAATGCTTTTCATGACCACGGGTATAATCATGAAATCTGGGAAACAGGAAAACTTGAAATCCTGAGTCTACAATAAAATGTGACGGGCACTATTGGGTGTCGTGAGCAGGTCAGTTATTGGTAGACGTCTGAACCCTCAGCCATCAATGCATCCAGATGGAACAACTACATGTCCTGCAAGGAGGATTTTGTAGCTTTTAGTTCAGATCTAGGACAAACCGCACTAGTCAATAGTGTAATTTTAGCTGTTTTTGGCAAACAGCAGATCTAGGTAACAAGGCCACACTGCTGTTTGCTAGGAAGCTGCTGCACACAGAGGAGCAGGTTTACAACTTTGACAGGAAGGATAGAAGTGAAGTGCTTTGCTTGCTTAAGCCGCAGTGTCTGTGAGGTTGCATCTCCAAACAGGCCAATTCACACACAAGCCTAGACTCTGTTCTCAGAAGATTGGAGGTGAAAGTGTATGGAATCAGATGGGTCTGGATGAATCTGTGCAGAAGGATTCACAAATCTAGTTTGTGATTTGTGTTTAAATGCACACAAAAATATTGGTTGTATGATTGTATATCAGTGTAAAATAATCATAGAAAATTCACAAATGCCTAGTAAGTATTGGATCAATCTAAGGTTTCTCACTATTCTTGGCTTATATTTGAATTTTTTTTTGTCTCAGTTGGTGATAAGGTCCCAGCGGACATCAGGCTGACGTCCATCCGTTCCACCACTCTGAGGGTGGACCAGTCCATTCTGACGGGGGAGTCTGTGTCAGTGCTCAAACACACAGACCCTGTACCAGATCCCCGAGCTGTCAACCAGGACAAGAAGAACATGCTCTTCTCTGTAAGTGTTTTGGAATTCCTTTTCTTATAAATACACCTTTTCCTAATTCACATACAAAAACCATAAAACACACCACTAGGAAAAAGACTGAGATGAATGGGACTATAAAGTGTTTCAGTAAACTAACTTGAAGGATACAGTTGGCAATATTCTATATTTATGTTATTGTCATATCTGTGAGCCACACTGTTGCACTGGATGACAAGTTCATTTCTACTATGAACACACTCACTGTAGTTTATTTTGACTCAGCCCCACACACACCGTCCTGCTTCCACAAATACTCACTAGAGAACCAAATGTGGATTAATCCACCGCTGGAAATAGTCCCAAACAAATGCACCACATGATGGTTAAAAGATAAAAGTGACATATATACACACGTCACATCTTAAGTTAGCTAAAGTTAGCAGAACATGTAAGAGATGTGAGCTTTAAGTATATGTGCCTTTTATCTAGCACACAGCACAGCAAGTACATGAAAGGAGGAAGTTAACCAATGCTTGCTTAACTGTTATTGGAGCACAGAGCAAAAAGAGGCAGGACTTAAAGCCAGTACTATCCTTTAAGTGATGGAACAAATATGTTTACCTTACATCTCTACCTCAGTAATTATTTTAATTTAATATATTGCTTAATTACTTAGGCAGCAGCCAATGAACACCTAAAACCCGAGCTCTGGAGCTCTAAGAGAAAAGACTTGCAGTGGCATAGAGCATTTATCTGCTCAGAGCTACACGTAGAGCTGCATTTAGGTGGATAAAACACAAGATGCATCGTCTTACTTACCAGCATTATGTTTTTATGCACAAAAATGTTGGAATGGTCTGATGACATACACCATTTCCACATCTACTGCAAGATTTGTCGAATATGATGAGATAAGATATCAACAAAAAGTCTGAAAGAAAATAGAAAATAGTTGCTGTAAATGACAAGAATATCTCTATAAATAAATAGACTCTACAAAGAAGCAACAGTGTGTGAGAGGGAAGATGAGCATTATTTGAAAAGCAGCCATGGGTGAGGTGTGTGTCGTATTATCTCTGTCAGGCCTCAAAGGCTGCTGAGTCACCAGGTGGTCTGTGGTCAAAGAACAACAGCTATTGATGTTTTATTTAGCACCATCACTCTGACAGACTACAGACCACAGGTTGTCTTTGTTGGCGTGGTGATCTGAGTACTGCCGACTTTAGAACCTGCTATTAAAGTACACTCAAATATTAGATTCCGCTTTGACTGCTGCATGTTAGAGAACACACAATCTGACAGTTTGAGGTAGACAGTTCGACAGTTGAGTTATTACCCTTTGTGACCTTTGCCCAAGGGTACCAACATTGCAGCTGGACGAGCCATCGGGGTTGTCGTGGCAACAGGCGTGCAAACAGAGATTGGGAAAATCCGAGATGAGATGGCCTCCACCGACCCGGAAAGGACCCCACTACAGCAGAAACTAGACCAGTTTGGAGAACAGCTGTCTAAGGCAAGGACCACCTGTGTTTTTCTGTGTATTTTAGTGCTTTGGGTCATTTTGGACTTGTTATTGTTTTTGATTCTTAATAAATTGGGGCCCATAATGTAATGAATTTACCTTTCTGCCTAACACGTGTCTTGTTGTAACCTGCAGGTGATCAGTGTGATCTGTGTGGCAGTGTGGGCCATCAACGTGGGACACTTCAATGACCCGGTCCATGGAGGCAGCTGGCTGAGAGGAGCTGTTTACTACTTCAAGATTGCTGTCGCACTGGCTGTAGCTGCCATACCGGAAGGTCAGACATCTTGTCTATCTGTGCAGAAAAGTCACTTCATACGCGTGTTTAATAATAATAATAATAATACATTTTATTTATAAGCGCTTTTCTAAATACTCAAAGACACTTTACATAAAAACATAAAAGCAGCAAAATATATATACTATGTTTTTACAACTGACCCATCTGAGGGTCTTAGAAGCTGTGACTATATGTCGCTTTCTCATCACCATCGTCTGACCGTGTCTTCTCAGGCCTCCCAGCAGTCATAACTACCTGCCTGGCACTGGGCACCAGGAGGATGGCCAGGAAGAACGCCATTGTCCGCAGCCTGCCATCAGTGGAGACGCTGGGTTGCACCTCTGTTATCTGCTCAGACAAGACAGGAACACTGACCACCAACCAGATGTCAGTCTGCAGGGTAAGATGTGGGAATGTAACAGGAATGTTACATACATCCACCTTGTAGTAAAATTACTGTGTTCCAGTCAGCCTGATTTAGCTCTCATATGATTGATATGATACAGTCTTATTGATTACAAACTTGTTATGGCATTGATCAGTAATACACGAGGGGAGCATCCAGAAAGAGTCAACATAGTGTCAGTGACTTGAAAATCTATGGAACTACTACAAAGTAACAACTGATGGCTTTTCATGTTAAATTAAAATTAACAAAGAATTAAGCTCACATTATGTCTAACAAATAGATCTTAGAGGTGTTAATCTGTCAACGATTGGAATTCAGAATGCGTTCTTAAAGCATCTCGATGTATCGCATCCTCAATTTTCTATATCACTGCACATGGCCACTTTTTTATCAATCAATACAGAAAGGCCACTCGATTAGCTTTACTCACTGAATCCATTTTCTGGGATTTGTTTTTGCTCTAGATGGCAGCTGATGTGTTTCTTCAAAGTAGTTGTATTACCAAAGTATTTTATTTCTGAGACAGATTTTACACTGTGCTTCCCAGTAAGTTCATAAAATCTGAAATGCACCCAGACTTCTGCTTTCAAAATACTGGGTGTGTTTATGTTGTCAGTCACTGTTTATCTCTGTCTCCCTCTGCCATATCTCCCAACACACAAAAGTAACATTCATCCACAAGTCAATGTCAATGCAAGGGAGCAAAGTTGCAACATAACAATGTAGCTTTACTACTATGTTGTCTAGCCGAGGCAAAAAAATCTACGATAGTAGGCTCATTTTGTGTAGGCTGCAAACTGCCAATTGTCATCCATGTTCTGTCACTGCATCGCCATGTGTCTTACAGCCTGTTTACAGCTGGTATTAACATGTGTCTTGAGTGATCCATTCACAAGTGTTCTAAATAGAGTGTAAAAGACCTCTGGGACCTTTATCTGTGAACATCAGATTTCCACGCAGTCGAAAAAGCAAAAGTGTGTGTCCTGCCCATAAAGTTCAGTTATAATATCCCACAATGCCCCAGCATCTCTCCAGCAGGGCTGCTGACAGCAAGATAAAAGCAACAGCAGGTCTGCTACTGAACTGAAAAAAGGATTAGGGTAGAGCCCTATAAAGGTCTTTATTTGCATAAAGAGCTGGGGAGTGAGATCTGATCACAAGCGGTCACTGGAGACGCATGTGGAGACAAATTCTAATGCCAGGTGTAAACTGACGTTCTTAAAGCTGTGCACTTGTGATCGGATCACCAAGACCCATGTTGATACCAGGTGTACACGGGCTCTAAGACTCGAAATATCTCTAATAGGTGTACTGTAAATTCTCACATAAAAGCCAGTATTCAGGTAATGGCCAAGTCTCAAATAATAGCCTTTGGTTCACACACAATTAACAATTAACAGATATTTTGCAATAAAAGCCTACCAATAACAGGAGGGCTGGAATACTTCTGCCATGAAAAATTAGCTGGAGTTGAATTCTCGGTAGCTTAAAGGGATAATTCACCCCAAAATCCCCCAAAATTTTTCCTCTTACCTGTAGTGCAATTTATCCATCTAGATAATCTTTTCCTTAAGGGAGCTCTTTTCTATCATTGAGTAAACTGAGTGACATATTTTATGTTTATTTCATATTATATACATTGTATAAAAATAACAGTAGAGAACCGCTGATAAACTTTACACAAACCCAAACAGTGAACACAATAACTGCAGTTCCAGAGATTCCATTCATTTTGAGCAGATCATTTCTTATGAGTTTTGCATCACAATTTTTTATACAATTCTCTGCCATGCCTGTATTATGTATTTAAACAATTCTTAACAGTCATATATACTTAATGTGCTTGTTTTTTGGGGTTTTTTTTTAAAGTATTAATTTTTGGTCTTTATGCCTTTATTTGACAGAGAGAGATAGACAGGAAAGGGGGGCAGAGAGAGGGAATGACATGCAGCAGCCACTGCGTATATGGGTCGCCAGCTCTACCGACTGAGCTAACCGGGCGCCCAATATGCTTGTTTTTTTACAAATTCAGTGTTTTCTTCTCCCTGACGCTTTTCTAATGCAGGGCGATGCTGTTTATCAGAGTGCTCTGGAAAATGTATATTAACTGCTCTTTTTTTGCTGGCCACGACTGGCTACTTGAAAACAGGCTCTTATATCAGATTTTTCCCTATTAGATAAATCTGCATTGGGAAAAAGATTGTTGCCCTCAGTGTGGTGTTGGCTTTAAAGCTCAGGTGGACTGACATGTTGGAATGTGGACCTAACTTTAGATGTGATCTTCTTAACATTACTGAACTAATCAACTACTGCGACGTCTGTCTGTGTGTCTGTGTGTCTGTGTGCATGTGTGCATGTGTGTGTGTTCAGATGTTTGTTGTAGACAGTGTGTCGGGGGAGCGCTGCAGGCTGAGCGAGTTCACAGTGACTGGATCTACTTACGCCCCTGAAGGGGAAGTGTGAGTGTCTTTAACCTTTAACACTTAACCCCTGGCACTTCATGGATTATGGATAGATATGGATTACCAGAACCTGGACGTTTTTTCACCTTTTATTCCTATTTTCTCCATCATGGCCTGTCCCTTCCCGTCTTTCCAGTTATAAGGATGGCTCGGTGGTAAAGTGCAGCCAGTATGAAGGCCTGGTGGAGATGGCGTCCATCTGTGCACTGTGCAATGACTCATCACTAGACTACAATGAGGTAAGACTGCCCTGACCATCATAGATTACCATATATGGTTCTGGCACATTTACAACTGGAATCTGATTCTGAATATGTGTTACCGCAAGTAAAACACAGTACAGCATACTTTAACCTCTGTTCCTTCTGTTTGTGTGGGTCTAACTTAGCTTCAGGGAAACATTTCAGACTAAAGACCAGTTGATTGGGGACACAGCTTTTGACCCTAAATAAAGTCCACATGAAATGGAAAGCAGAGTGCTGTTCACTAATGTTTACGTGTTTCCTGTCAGATCAGGCAGCTAGGGAGGGACTTGTCTTGGATATTGTTTGCCGTTTACAGTAGCCAATAAAGGGAAAACCAATAACAATTTTCTCCATAAAATATGATCACTAAAATCAGTGAATAAAGTTATGGGCTTCTGTACAGTAATGAGTGAGGCCTGGTTGTAGATGTATGTAACACATCAGCCCTCAGAAACACTAGCATCAGAAGCAAGACATTTATTAGTGTAGTATGAGTCCCACTCCTCTTGGAAAATCTGAAAAAGCTGGAAATTTAGAGACTACTTTTCCAGTCATGGAAATTGACTAAAATGACCATATTTCCTGTAAATCATCTCTGTTTTCCTCAAAACCTTTCATTGTATTTTAGCCTGTGGCCAAATATATGTTACTGTTAGAGGAAAGGTGCAGTCAATAGACATTATCAAGGATACTAATTAAGGTTCTGTTCTATTCAGGTCAAACAGAGTCAGGGGGCATGTTGGCTCACTGGACTGCTAAACTAAATGGAACAGAACCGTAATTATGAAATGAATTAGCATCATTGGTAACACCTGTGTTTGCTCTTCTATTTCATGTCAAAATGACTGCTTTGGAAAAGGTCTATTTGGAAACAGGGAAAATCCGCTGTGGTGAGAACAGCCATACACGGAACGTCCCATAAATGCGGACCTCCGTTGTGAGCAAGTCCTGTTCTGTGTTGTCAAGAAAACCCCCTGGAAATTGTCTAAAACAAGTCATCAAAATACCTGAAAATAATCAAAAAATTACTCTTTGTCATTTTTTGGCCAGATACTGCCGTATAGGTGACGTATAGTGCAAGACATATGTGATTAAACAGTAAAACGTTTGACTTTGACTTCATGGGGGACGGTTAGGGTAAGGGGTTAGGCGAGTAGAGGTTAAGGTTGGGGTAAATTTAAGTAATGTAAGTAAACATGCTTCATCTGTATGTGTATGTGTGTGTGTGTGTGTGTGTGTGTCCGTTCCAGGCAAAGGGAGTGTATGAGAAGGTTGGGGAGGCCACAGAGACTGCCCTCTGCTGTCTGGTGGAGAAAATAAACGTGTTTGACACCGACCTGAGAGGACTGAGCCCTGCTGAGAGAGCTACAGCGTGTTGCTCTGTAAGTGTGTGTGAGAGATAAGTAAAGTAAAAGACAGCACTATTGCAAATGACTCTCTGATCGCTCCCCCTGACCTCTGCATCCATTATGCAGGACTTACTAAAACCATTTTCATGCTCCCTGTTTTCTCTCACATCTTTCGTTACCTGTGAGACCATTAAGTAATGAGTAATGAAGGCTTGTTTCACAAAATAACTTTTTGTCATATTTGCTGCAAGAATCGACTGAGCCTGAATGAAAACAACCAATCAGAGCTGATAATTAGTTGATTGTGTCATTCCCAGCGTCGGACTCAACAATCAACTGTCTTTCTTGCATATGACAAAAAGTCATTTTTATAAAAGTTACCTACTGCAGCTTTAATATGAACTGTATTTGGCTTTTTTTCGGTTGTTTTCAGGTGATTAAGCAGCTGATGAGGAAGGAGCTGACACTGGAGTTCTCCAGAGACAGGAAGTCCATGTCTGTCTTCTGCTCGTCCAATAAACTCACCAGGTCTGCCTCTGGAGCCAAGATGTTTGTCAAGGTGAGTTACCCACCGCTGGCTGTGATACAATCTGGTTATACAGTGGCCATAAAGAGACACTATTTCTATCCTCAGGGAGCTCCAGAGAGTGTGTTGGAGCGCTGTAATTACATCCGGCTCAGTGGTTCTGCCCGCGTGCCTTTGAGCCCTGCGGTGCGAGAGCAGCTCCTGTCCACCGTGCGGGAGTGGGGTTCAGGCCGAGACACGCTCCGTTGTCTCGCCATGGCGACCAGGGACACGCCCCCTGACATTCACAGCCTTAGCCTGGAGAACTCAGCCACCTTTGCTAACTATGAGGTAAGGATGATGATGATAGTGATGGTGGTGGTGATGAGATGTTCTTGAAAAGGACACATAGTCTAGACAGTGTGCTCTAGCTCTGTATGAAATGAACTGTTGGTTGAAGAAAGCTAAAGTAGTCCTTCCCTTCCTCTCTTCCCCCTCCCCAGTCGGACCTGACCTTCGTTGGCTGTGTGGGCATGTTGGACCCCCCCAGAAAAGAAGTGCTTAGCGCGGTCCGAATGTGCCGGCAGGCCGGCATAAGAGTCATCATGATTACAGGTGAGCTAGCACACGCACAACAGAAATATACACTGTACACATACAGAAACATACCTTTTAATACACATACACACACAGTCATCTCATAAATACAGCAGATAATAGTACGTATTAAGGATTAGTGGAAAAATATGTAACTCAGATTTTTTTTTACCAATGATGTTGATTTAAATTGCAGTTATTTAGTATGAATTCAACTCAAGGCCTGTGTTTTGTGAACTAAATAGGAAGTGTACACAGGTGGCAGTAGTACGCCTTGTGTGACTGTGAAAACTGAATACTGTAGAGTTAGTAAAACTCAATAATGTATACTGTAGTCTAGTTTGTCAATTTATTTTGCCTCATTAATGGTTTTATTTTTCTGTATGAAAACGGCTCATTCCAAGGTTGCAAAACACAACAAAATGCCAAGCTCACTGAAAACAACAGAGGCTAAATTGTATTGGTTGTCAGATCAGTTTAGAAATGGCATATCTGAGCCCTGTCTTTCAACCCCTCTTCCCATTCATTTTGAAAGGGTGTGTCAGGGCTGCTCAGTAGCTTGCAATGCTATAAAATACTGATACCAAGAAGTTTTCTTTGGTTTTGGTCCATTTGTTGTCACCCAATGTCTTGTTTTAGTTGGAAATACATCAATTTTGCAAAAAAATGTGATGTCTTGAATCTGTGAAATGAGCTGAACTATGGGGTTAGTTTGGAATCTTTGTCAGAAAGCCTAGTCTTTTTCTTTAGCTACGATCTAACAATTCTTCTCTCCAGGTGACAACAAAGGGACGGCCCTGTCTATTTGCCGGAGGGTTGGCATCATCACGGAGCAGGAGGAGGAGCAGGAGGGTGCCGGCATCAGTGGAGGCCTGACGGGAAGAGAGTTTGATGAGCTGCCCCCGCACCTGCAGCGTCAAGCCTGCAGGACGGTGCGCTGCTTCGCCCGGGTGGAACCAGCACACAAGAGTCGTATAGTGGAGTACCTGCAGAGCCTGAGTGAAATCACCGCCATGGTGAGGACCCTGCCTTGTACTTGATCCTATGTGCGTTGAGAACCAGTGTAAGAGCACTGCTTGAATGTCACTAAACTATCCTCCTCCACCCTCCCTCTCAGACAGGTGACGGGGTTAATGACGCGCCGGCATTAAAGAAGGCAGAGATCGGCATTGCTATGGGCAGCGGCACGGCAGTGGCCAAATCTGCCTCTGAGATGATCCTGGCTGATGACAACTTCTCCACTATCGTGGCTGCAGTGGAGGAGGGCAGAGCCATTTACAACAACATGAAACAGTTCATCAGATACCTGATATCATCCAACATAGGAGAGGTGGTCTGGTTAGTGAAGGGGCTCTGTGTCAGAAAGCTTAAAGAAAGTGGTGCACTAACTTTATAGATGATAGATACAGACATATAGTTTATGGTTGATTTGGGCCTCTCACTGTTTCCTCCTCAGTATCTTCCTGACGGCCGCGCTCGGCATGCCTGAAGCACTGATCCCAGTCCAGCTGCTGTGGGTCAACCTGGTCACTGATGGTTTCCCAGCAACAGCTCTGGGCTTCAACCCTCCAGACTTGGACATCATGTCCCGCCCTCCCCGCTCCCACAAAGAGCCGCTCATCTCCAGCTGGCTGTTCTGTCGCTACCTCATCATTGGATGTGAGTCACAGAATGAAATCGAGATCCAGAGTACTGATTCATTATTCGAGCCTGTTAGACGAGGTAAACTAAACTTTCTCTGCAGGTTATGTGGGAGCAGCCACTGTCGGAGCTGCTGCCTGGTGGTTCATGGCAGCCCACGATGGACCAAAACTTTCCTTCTATCAGCTGGTAAAAAACACACCTGCCATCACTGCACCTCTTTTCATGCATCTCATGCTGTGACTCTACATTATATACGACTGGTTCCCAACCTAGGGCTCCTGACCCACACTAGAGGTCGCCAAAGCTTCACAGGGATTCCCAGACCATTTAAGGGTTTAAAAGACTTTTAAAGAAAAATACACAGTAGGTCTGTATCTCAGCATTTCATTCACCTAACTAAAAAACTAAAAGAAATAGTTTTTTTTTAAGTTTAGATTGTTAGTTAATATCTAAACTTTAAAAACAATTTCACAGGATAAGGTGAACACAAGCTATATTCACAGAGCCTTCACACTCTGATAAACAGCCTTGTCCTGCATTAGAAAAGTTAAAACAACCAAAGAGCTAATAGAATAATGGCCAAGCATGATTGTTAAAAACCTTTTTTTATTTTTTATTCATAATACAGACAGGATTATTATATGAAGTAACAAAACATTTCAGGAAAACTTATCTGGTAACACCTGAGGGTTTGCCTAATAGCTGAAAGAATGATTACTATCCCCATAGGTTCTAATGCAATGCAACTACTATGTACTCCAGTAAATAAGACTTAGCAACAGGAGATATATCTAGTTCCTTCCACTCATAGGGCTCTTTGGCTCAGCTACAAGCCAGAAAGCTAGATTTAAGATTCAAGATTCAGTACTTTGTTGCCAAACAACTCGGTGCAAGTTGCTAGGGATTTGCTTCAGTGTGCTCAGGACATCAACAAAGTCAGAAAAAAAGGACACAGAACATGTAAATACATATACAACACAAGGGCCCCAAAACATATAAGTACATACACGGTATCCCACACAGGATCACACTTGACGCAGGCAAATAAAAAGGCATACTGTTCACAGCATACCTGGATGACAGTCCAGAAGGCTAGAGTGACAGATGTCAAGTTAAAGTGACATGGTGCATAGGGATGCAGAGTGCAACCAGGACTTTACAATAAATAAATCAATAAAACTAGTATGGGTAGCATAAACCCATTTAGAGAAGTATTATAAAAACAATGTAAAAGATATACAATGTAATGCTAATGTTATGCTAGCAAGATTCAAAGTCAAACTGTAAATATAATCTGACAGTATGTTTAACAATCAGCAATGTCATTGTCCCCAAATCAATATCAAGATTTTCACCAACTAATGATAGGCCATGTGTAACTGACGTGGCGAGTTGAATAGCCAACAGGATGTAAGATGATCTCTTATACAAAGAATCTGAATGTTCCACTTAGGTCAAACAGTCAGGGTGATGCTATTTTGCATGTTGGCTCACTGGAAAGCTCTGCTACACTAAACGGAATGGGACCTTCATTAGTGTCATGGTACTGTTTCATGTCAAAATGGCTGCTGTGAAAAAGGTCTGTTGGGAGAGGTGAGTATAAAGGGGCAAGAATGTTAAATGTTTTACACATTTGTTTCTTCCGCAGTCCCACTACCTGCAGTGCAGCGAAGGCCACGTTGAGTTCGCCGGCGTGCAGTGTTCAGTCTTTGAGTCTCCTTATCCCATGACCATGGCCCTGTCTGTCCTGGTTACCATAGAGATGTGCAACGCCTTAAACAGGTAAGAGCAAAACAAACACCCACATACTAAACTGCATACCGTACAGTGCTGTCCTGTACCAAACATGTAATTGTCATTTATTACACCTGAGTGATCAGAATGGTTAAAGATGACAGAAGTGACAGTACATAACTTCCCCTGTGCTGTCCAGTCTTTCAGAGAACCAGTCCCTGCTGAAGATGCCTCCGTGGTCAAACCCCTGGCTGGTGGGGGCCATCTGTCTGTCCATGGCTTTACACTTCCTCATTCTGTATGTAGACCCACTGCCGGTAAGAATGCATGCATTACTACTGTACTGTACGTGTTTGAAGGATTCCTTTAAAGTAGGTTAGTAATTAGTAATCTGAGAAACTGATTACGGATATGTGGAACCAAAATACATTTGCTGTAAAGTTTCAAATCTTAGTGTTAGAATAAATGGGTGAAAAGAACATTAATCTAAGAAAAACCTACCCGGCAGTATAAAGTAATCAAAATATTTAAAATAAGCTCCACCTTTACCAGTGTGTAACCTTGTGACATGCTACCAATCAGATAGTGCTGTGGGCGGGACAGAATGGCAACTACAGACAGAGAGAAGAGGCTGCACCAGAGCCAAAGTAGCCCATTTTAAAGGAATTTATTTTTTCAACAATTGGATAACTAAATACATGTTTAAATATGGGATCCAATAATTCACTAGACTAATAATCAGTCCATCCCTACATTAAAGGTTCCACTGATAAGGTTGTTGGCTGTAATAGATGGTACTGATATAATCATTTTCATTCCAGAAAAATCAGTGAGCAATACACTGCCAAATTACAGTTTTCCTGCACTCCAGTGGTTCTCAAGTTTTTTTTTTTATTAATGTTCCCCCTGCCAAGTATCCCCTCACCAGAGCAAAAAACCTTATATTAGGAGGTACAATATAGTGCTGCACCATCAGTGTCTGAATTATGAAGAAAAACACTTCATTACAGCTGTTAGAATCCATCACTTAATTCATGCAAACCAATTGTTTGTCATCATGCAATAACACAAAGACAGCATTGAAGTTGCATTGAACCATTTTTTTTTGCTATGGTGTGCTTACAGTTTAGTGAGAAGTATGAGCTTTGCTGAGGATTGCATTGTAGGAATAATGAATACAAAATGTGTTTCACCAAACTTACATTTGCATTGAATTTAACTTGCACTATATTGTAGTATGAACTTGTATTATTATAGGAATTGTGCCTCGCTAATAATTTTTTTATTATTTTATTTTTTTAAATGTCACATACCCCCTGCAGTACTCCAAAGTACCCCTAGGGGTACGCATTTGAGAAACACCTCCAAAAATCTGTTGACTGACCCTTCTATCCAGGGCTTAAAAACCACCATTGCCTCTGATTGTGCCTTCAGGTGGTATTCCAGATACGCCCTCTGTCGTGGCCTCAGTGGGTCGTGGTGCTGAAGATGTCCATTCCTGTCATCTTGATGGACGAGGCTCTCAAATTTCTGGCCCGCAACTACATCGAGCCAGGAAGCCAGATCCAGGTCAGAGACGTGCCTGATAGTCGGGTATTTGTATCTCAGGTACAGTGGCCTCTGTCTAAACCTTTTTTTTGCTGTTTAAAAAGTCACTTGAGGAGGAAGAGGAGCTGCAGAGGACGAGGGCTAACGCAGGATTGGTTGGAGCCATGACGAGAAGGCTACGTCAATCCCTGAGGGGCGTGTCCTGGTCATTCGTGTTGATCTCCGCGCCGCTGGTGATCTGGATCTTCAGCCTGGACTCTGACATCACCAACATCTTTTGGGAGTGATGGGAGAAAAGGAGGACGGGCTGACTGTAGGGGAAGCACTGAAAGACGGGAAGAGGAAAGCTAAAGAAGAAGTGGTGGAATAAAAGGTGGAGGATTGGGGAAAGGAATGTGTGAGGATGAGGATGAGAGAAACAAAGAACAAAGATGAGGAATACTTTGCAGAGATAAGAGGATGTAAGAGTTCAATATTTGGCCAACAGACAATCAGAACATAAGAAGAAAGATAGTGCAAGGTAGTTTTAGACCATCTCTTTCTCAATAATTAAAGGTGCTATGTGTACGTAGCTAATCTAAGCTAGTCTCTCTTACTTACTTGTATGAGCTTTCCCTTGTTTTTGGCTCTAGGGACACCGTTGTTGGTCCTGCACTTTGGTCCAGAGTGAATTCAGATACCTCTGAAGGTGTACTGTAATGCTAACACAGCATGCCTAAGTTCCCATTCGCATGTTAGCATGTTTGTCGTGTTGTAAAGCAATTCAGCATTTAAACGTCCTTCCAAATTTGACGTTACAGCTTTAAGACCTTAGTGTAAACGTGTAAATCTGTTGCTAGGAAACATCCGTAGCACTGTCCAATCGAATACAATCAACAGGAAGTCATTGTTGTCAGAAGCTGTAATATAATTCCCTAAACTGACAGTTTTAGACAGCCAACAGTATGTGTTTGCCTGACAACCTTTTATAAATGTAGGGATGGCTTTGCTCTGTTTGAAGGTTAGTAGTGTTCACATAGGTTAGAGTGGGGGGAAACATAAGCTAACCAACCATTTAGCGTTAGATTATCAGCATTACATTTTGTAATTTGAGATATATTGTGTTCTTTGTGAAATGTAACTTAACTTAAATCTAACGTCTACTCAGTTATTGTCTTCTAACAGTTTTTGTCAAGTGTATAGTCGGATATATCAGATATTTTACATTCCAGTCTAAACTCTTCAAATATTGTAAGTTAACATTTGGTCAGCTAGCTAAGAAAAAGGTTCCACCCAGCAGTTACTGGGTGTAAATATTACTAACAACTAATCTGTATGTAGGAACTACTTGGCGTGGTAGCATTGAACTTTGGAAAAGCTGGTGCACCAGTACCAGTACTTCAAAATAAAAAGGCAAAGATTAGAGATGAGGAAAATAATTTGTGTAGCAGAAAGTTGACCTGACCCCCAGGTTGGAAAGCACTGGTGTAGATGTTTAATGAGTTCAGAGTAATCAAACTAAGTACACATAGCACCTTTATAGATGAAGATTTCTGGTTGAAAAAAGGATGTGTTAGAAGAAAGGGAAAAGCATAGAGAGGTCCAGAATCAAACACCAACACACACACTAACGTTTCATTCACCAGTAATAATATGTACTCAGTAACAGGTGATAACTAGATGTACAATAGAATCTCCCAAATGGCAGCCGCTGCAGTCTTAATGCTGCAGTGCCATTCAGTCACATTAATGTTAGGACTTACTGTAGATACAGTAAACAAGCATTTAACCAGTGAAGGAAGACTGTTAGCAGACCATTACGGAACACATGTCAGTACACATCACACATTGCTAACATGCTTCAAATCAGCCCGAGACTGTTAGATTCTGCAGAAACACATCGTTTCCTGCAGAGTCTGGGATGTGCTCCTGCTGTCTACAGGTTGTGAAAAGGATTCACAGGTCTGAAACTGGTTTGGTTTCATCATAGCATTTCAATTCCCAAAGGCAAGTCACTAAGGGCCCTTTCACACCTACCTCCTTGTTTGATCCAAACTGAAATTACAGGTGTGAAAACTCCCACGCACATTGGTCCGACCACAATAGGTCGTCTCCGTCCGTACCAAATTAAATCATGGTTCTGTTCGTTTCATGCTTAAAAAACCTTTTTTTTGGATGGTTGGACCAGTTCAAGAAAGTTCTGGCAATTGTCCCAGGAGGAGGATGTTCATTTGGCAAAACTAGTCTGAAGAAATAAAGTCGTGCTAGGGCAGCGTATTAGCAAGAATCTGGCAATATGATACGTATCACGATACAGTGGTTAAGATTCAATGTATTGTGATACTATAAGCAAAAGCAATATTTTGCAATTGTTTTTATTGTATGCATAAAAGTTGAGTTAAAAATTGCAGCAAATGCAAGTAGAACAGTGGAATCAGCTTTTATATTTCTCACAGTCTCTGTAACATCTAGCATCATAGCCCTCAGTTAGTTTACAACACTGCTATCTAGCATTTGGAGGTTCAAACACAAAATTCTCTTTTTGAGAATCAATACAATATATTATAATATATATATAATATTGCAATACGATATTTTTTAATATTATCTTACACCCCTAGTTGGTGCTGCTGGTAGTAATGCCATAATAATAATAATCAAGCAGCAGTGAAATTAATCTGTTCATTTTTCTCCACTCATTCAATGCTGACATCACGCGTCTGTCTACAAACCAATCAGCTGCAAGTAGAGCCGCAGCTCACGCAGATTATGGACTGTAAATCATGTATAGTTCTTTAGTGCATTTGCACAAACCAAAGCTAACCAGATAAAATGTATACAATATAAGAAAAACACAAATTGTGGTTTGGACTTTGAGGTGTGAAAAGACCCTTAGACCCTCACTCTGCTCGATCTACAGTTCAGTATCCTTTGTTGTATTTTTTAGTTGATTGTTACAGACACTGAAAAGCTCTCAGTCTTAAATGTAACTTGACTTGAAAAGGCTTTTGCTATTTCTTTAGACATTCTGAGGCTTCATAGACTTACTGAAGCTGAATGTAAGCCTTCACAGCAGGATGAATGAGTTCTATATATTATTTCTATTCATGGTTAAACACAGTAGAGCTTGTTTTGTACTTCCAGGTACAGTCAGCATCTCATTGATGTGACTGCTACATGTGCGTAAGATAAATGGGTTAATATGGTTCTTAATGTTATGGCTTTAAATATATTGTATGTGTTTATTACTCTCACTACATACATCCCGCTCACTACACTGCAGCACTGTTTCTTTCTTTCAGTTCTTTACTTCTCTTCCCTCATGCCTGTTGACCACAGGATCTGTGTTAGTGAATGATCCCATACCACAGTCAAACAGTAAGCCTGACAGTGAGTGAGTGTTTCATTTAAGTGTTTTTTTTCTTTTTTTATGCAAACCAGTGACCTGTCTGCCATTTTCTCCAGTGATGCCATTGTGACATCTCACTCTGTTTGCCATTCAAGGGATTTTTTTTTTTGTGGAAAAAACGTTTTTTTGATTCATTGCAATAACTGTTGTTGTACATCCCATTGTACAACAGTATTTAGGGACAGAGTTGGAGAATAAAGCCACAATATCTGGAGAAAAAAGTATATGATATGAAAGTAAAAATAAAAAATTAAAGTCATAATATTTTAGGATGAAGTCATACTTTTGCTTGCAAGAGGTTTATGTTTGGTCCTTTTCCTGTGAGCGTATACAGATCCAGACATTTCACCTCTGTCCCACAAAATCATAACTTCGCTAAGTGTGGCTTTTATTCTCTATCTATATTATGACTTTATTTAATATTATGATATTTTCTAGTAAAATTTGTACTTTATTCTGGTCATTTTTGGACATTTTCTCAAGCCTACTCTCTATTATTGTAATTTATTAATTAATTTTATTTTTTTTAACCCTTCCTATGTCCCGCCCCTTTTTGCTCTGTGCTCCAGTAACAGTTGAGCAAGCCTCGGTCAGAACTTCGGTCTATCTTTGAACCTTCTTCAAAATGTGGTTGTCTCTTCAACACAGAGAGCCTAGCACATAGCATATCTAAGTACAGGGAAGGAGAGAGTTGACTGCGGTTCCAAAAGAGGCAGGACGTAAGAAGGGTCTTCACTTTCGTAATATTAAGACTCGTTCTCCAAAAATTTTGACTTCTTGTGATATTATTAAATAATTTCATAAAATTTTAAATTTTATTTCTGGTCATTTTGTGACTTTTTCTCATAAAATTTGTTTAGACCCTATTCTCATAACTTTACCATGTTTTTCTCAAAATATTGCAACTTTATTCTGGAAATTTTTGTTTTTCTAAAAGTGACCCTGACAGTAGGTCGCAGGGTCTTTATTTTACTATTTAATAAAAACATAAAGCTGTTGCTTTAGAGTATAGAAGCATTCAACTTTCTGATGTCAAAAGCTGCTCTGGAGGTAAAACCAACTCGCAACAGGAAGTTTCTTTTTTTTGTTTTGTTTTTAATTACTACTACTTGTTAATTTTCCATGCAGACATTTTTGCTTCTTTGCTGCCCACAGTTCTGCCTCTTGTTTGTTTGTTTTTGTTCAATTTGTGTTTCTCACATTCTTGAAAATTTCAAAAATGACTAAGAGGACGTTTGTTGCAATATAATATTTTTGTTTTGATACCATTAAGGCAGAGGAAAACTCATGTAGATGCACTTAGTAGTGAGTATTTATTTTTTATTATTTATTATTATTATTTTATTATTATTGTATTTTTCTCCAAGGCTGCATTATGTCATGACAGCCCTAAGTCCCCAACAGTTTGTTCTTTATTATTATGGTTATTATTAGCTGACTACTGTCTTTAGGAGGCTTTATATGGTTCTGTTTAAATTAAGGTTTAATAGAAGAACTTCATAAAAAGAGAAACCACCTTCTTTCCCTCTCTTCCTCTCTGCTCCATCAACCAACATTTACACTGCAGGGAGCACCAATTTGTAGATTTCATTTTTCTTTCGTTCACTCTACTGTCCAAGAGTTTGTTGTCATTGGAAAGGATGTTACAGGATAAAAACAACAATAAATAAAAACTTCAGGATTCAAGTGTGGTGTGCTCTTTTGACTCATGCTGTGTTAGAACCATAGAACCTTAACCATTCTGCAAGGTGTTTTTTTTATCAGTTTGTATCTCCATTCTTGCAGGAGTGGTTTGTAAAGGCTTCTTGCTGCAGTGTCTGGTGGCTGTGCTGACCACATGATGGGGCCAGTGAGCAAGATACCACTGATGTCAGGTGGTGGTTCTCCAACATGTCAGCTTTTCAGGAACGAAGCTTTACAAGCAGAGAGTTTTAATGATTTTATGACATTTTTAAATTCTTACTAAATTACTAAAATCACCAAAGCAGGAGATATCAGCTGACAACACCATCTGTGACAATGTAGCAGAGGCTTCTGGTGCAATAAAGTCAAAAAGTGTGTGTGTTTTAAGCTCAGTGGGGTGGGCGGGCAAGATTTGAGCTCCATTTATAGACATACTGTACATAGAGAGAGAGTCTATGTGAATGCATGTGCACCAGTGAATACAGCTGCCACTCAGAGGGAAGGATATCACACTTTAAAACCTCCAAAAGAAAGATTCAATTATAAAAAGGAATCAACCTCTACTGGAGCAGCACAACTTGTGAAGTAAGTGACTTTCACTGTGTTGCACAGCTGGGATTGCTTCCTGCTCATTTTGACACACGCAGACAAATGTGAAGGGAGGCTTCCATGACGCTGACTGAGTTTTGTGGCTGTGTGGGATTACACTGAAGCTCCTTCTGAGCAATGCTGGATAGTCCTGAACAACATAATAAAATAGTTTTTTTTAATGTTGCAGTACCTTGCTGGTAGTTCAACTACATCCATATTTATAGAGTGATTCAAGTACCCTCTAAAAACAAATATTTTGGCACAACAAAAAAAGTGTGTAGAGTAAACTACTGAAATAAAGCTAAGCTCTAAGCTCACCTGTTAAAAATATTTTGAATCTGAATTTTTCAAACTAAACTTGAATATATTAGGTATAAATTAATGACTTCTTAAGGAGTACGGTCTAGACCTTCTCTATTTAAAAAGTGTCTTGACATAACATCCGTTATAATTTGGCACTACAGAAATAAAACTCTATTGAATTAGTCATTAGTATTAATTAGTATTAAGTATTTTAGAAGTTACATTCTGCTTGGTGCAAATGCCCCCGCCTGGACTGTAGTTTCTGAATTTCGCTGTCTGACTGATGGACCAGAGCTGACGTTACCGTGCTGTCCCATACGTAGTGGCATATTTTATTTTTATGTATGACCTGTAAAGTCACTGAATGACCTTGAGAGATGGCAAACATCCCACATGTAGGTCCAAAACCGAACTGTGGGGAAATGCACCAGGAGAAATAAAAAACCTTTAGAGAGTATGATCTCAAATAAGAAAATGTTTAAATATAAGTTTAGGAAGGATGTACATACGTGTGCAGATGCATGTATTTTTCCAATCAAAATCAAATAAAACCGCATTAATTGACAGAAAATAAAAATCACAAAAATGAACACTGCTTCTGAGTTTGGGTTGATTTCGCCAAAACTGATTTAGGATCAGTTAGTCTCCTCTTCTGTGAATCATCAACAGCTGTGATTCATCTCTTTTTTCAAAAGAACACACAGTATCACAAACATGGTCAAAAGTAAAAGGTGTGATATATATTCAACAAAGATTTTCTGATGTGCGAGTGGAGTTAGTCATTTATTAACACAACTGAGATGGTATCAGTGTCACCTAGAGAGAGAAAGACAGAATGATACTATGTGTTCGCACCGTGTTTACTGTTCAATACCATCTGAACTCAAGTGGTATTCATTCATCTGATCTCTCTGAGAGTTGTGATCTATGCCAGTGCTTCTTCACTCTTCACATCCACTTTAAAATATTTGTTCAGCCAGATAGTAAGGGGGGAAAAAAACAGTGTCTGGTTTATTAAATAAGTCTGTAACTGAACAACATTTAAATATATCTTTCCATAGAGTCCATCGCTGAATTCATGGAAAACTTTGGTCATCGTGATGCAATAAGACGACACTGCAGTTGCATCAAACTGCGTGTTTTTGACAAGTTGTATTTAAAATGTATTTCTGTCATTCTCTGTGGCAGCAGGCAACTGCAACATGTTTTTTTGTGCCTGTTTTGCTGTCATTGAACTAACATCATCGCGACTCTTCTGTGAAGTTCTACGGCAGCTTGCAGTTTATGGCAGTGAACAGCTGCAGTGAAAGCATATTGACTATAAAATGTGGTTTATCTAACCTGCATTTAGTTTGTTTTTTCAAACTGTTTATTGGGATTTTTATAAATGCTGTGTGATATATACAGTAACGTAATGTAAATACAAGAAAAACATGAAAGAACAAATCGTGACATAACAAAGTCAAATGTGTATTTGTAAAAGAAGAAGAAGAAGAAGAAGAAGCAGGGCAGAGATAACTGTAGTGAGTTTATTGAGCATGTCTAATTTTGGCTCATTCCCTCCTACCCTTCATTTGCAGTTCTTTTTTTATTATAGATAGATAGATAGATATTCCTTTATTTGTCCCACAATGGGGAAATTCCAATGTTACAGCAGCAAAGTGGATAGAGACAAAAAATCAGTATAAAAACAGTAAGAGTAGGAAATAATAAATAAAAACACTGTACAAGAGAAAAAACAGTAAGAATCCACAACAACAACAGATAACACAAATAACAGCAGCAGCAGTTGCACAGGGGCAATAGATTGCACAGTGAATATGGAATGGTATTGTACAGTAATTATTGCACATTGTTGTTGTCAACATTATTATTATTATTGATGCTGAGATGGGGGGGGGGAGGTGCTGGTTGTTACAGTCTGACAGCAGCAGGAAGGACGGACCTACGATATCTCTCCGTCACACATTTGGGGTGAAGGAGTCTGTCGCTGGAGGAGCTGCTCAGTGTCCTGATGGTGTCTGCATGGGGTGGGAGACATTGTCCATCAGTGATGATAGCTTTGCTTTTATCTCTCCCACCCTGTCCTGAGTCCAGGGGGCAACCCAGGACAACTGCAGCCGCTCGGGAAAGCGGCGCATGCGTATCTTGCGTATATTGAAATGATTTATTACTTTAGTTATTATGACTAACACACTGTAAAACCAGATAAACTGATTATACAAAACAATGTGAAACTGTTTACATCAAAAATATGAAATAAAACTAACTCAACGTTGTAAGAAAACATTCTTCATCAAGTACGTTAGCTCATCTACATCAGTCATTAGCTTGCTAGTTAGCTAGCATGTTACGACGGAGCAAAACACTAGCTAAACTAATTGTTAGCTAGCTAACTAGCTAGCTACTGTACATCAATTGTTAGTTAGCTAGTGAAGTTACATATTGCTAACATTAACGTTAGCTAACTTGTCTATTGTCGCTTTCATCTTTTAACCATCTTAAAACTTTAATGAGCCTAGCACATATCTAATGAGGCATTCCATTTTAACTGTCATTTTATTTCAGTTCAGAGTCAGTTCATTTGTACTGTGAAAACAAAACACCTAGAAAAAGTAGTCCGAGTAATTCATGAATTACTTCTTAATGGAAATATTTATTATTGAACAGATGAACTTTTGTATTTGATAAACCTTAGAACTCATCCATCTTGAAATGAAAAGCCCCACGTGCGATTCCAAACACAAATACACACACACACACACACACACACACACACACACACACACACATACACACACACACAATACACACATACACACAACACACACACACACATACACACATACACCGGTCATTAGATAACGTCTCTCTAAGCCAAGTCACAATTCACAGCAGACTTGTTTCCCCTACATATCCTGGTATTATTGTTTGTGTGTGTGTGTGTGTGTGTGTGAGAGAGAGAGAGAGAGAGAGATAGATAGAGAGAGAGAGAGAGAGAGAGAGAGAGAGAGAGTCACTGCTATTTCCATGAGCAGGTCAGCAGGACTCCCAGTGTGCCAACATGTGCCTAATACAGGTCATTGCTTTCTAAAACTTTGCACACACCCACATACACACACATACACACACATACACACACCGCACATAAGTCAAATATTTACACACTCATAGCTGGGAACAACCCAGAATGTTTCTCTCTCTCTATCTATCTGTGTGTGTGTGTGTGTGTGTGTGTGTGTGTGTGTGTGTGTGTGTGTGTGTGCACGTGGGTTAGATCAGTGCATGACACTCGATAGCTCCAGCTACAGTAGAAGGTCAGGTGGGGTCAAACGTCTCCCTCATTGGTCTCATCTTGCTGTCCCCTCCTTAATACTTCACTGCTTCACTGCATGACAGCTCACAGGCTGACATCACTATATGTGAAGTGGAAGTTTGCAATACTGTTTATACTGATGTAGCTGCACCGTAGTAACTGGGTGTATTAGTTCATTGTAAGCAATGCTGCGCATCACTGAGCTGTTTTATGACAGTTTTGGATTTACAGAATTTTGTCAAAAAATCAAAATTAGCCCAAAGTAGACATTCCTAACTCATGAAATTCCTGTGGCAGGGAGATGTCCTTAACATATTACTTACTTTATAGCAATATGAAGGAAAACTGTGGGGCTTTTTTACAACTTAACATTGTACCCACCAAATTAAGTGCTGATATCTGATAATCAGAATCAATCATCAGAACCACTAAAAATAGGTCTGACAGGGGGTTAGGGCAGATAATCAGACAACCCCCAGGTTAGCAATAGTTGCAATGGTAGCAGATCTTCACGATATAATAACTGTCTCAGGAAATGTCACGGTTTCGTGTTATACAGTGTTATACAATTATTATTATTATTATTATGACATTAACACACCCTTAAAGGAATTAAAACAGAAAAAATGTTTTTTTAGGGTGAACAAACACTTTATTATAACTTAACAAAATACTATCTCCTATATGTTTTTTAATGATACTAATAAGGTCGAATTCAATATTTTTTCTAAAGGTCCAGTGTGTAGGTAACGATAACATAACAATTCTGATATTCAGGTGATTATACACTAATGAAAACATGAATATTATATTCCATTTCTGCCAATAGATCCTCCTAAATGTTACACACTGGACCCTTTAAATAGCACTAATACAATAGAATTCAATACTGTGGATAAACAAATGTACATTTTATGATAATGTCAATTTTCATATACCATGGTATCCGTATACTACTGCAAACCTAGAGCAAAACATATTTGGAGGAGAACAAGATGACAAACAGTCAAATTATAACCCAAACTTGTCATACTTGGCGGTTCCCAGCATAACCTTCGCTTCCTGCAGTCTGGTGGACTAACTCTTCTATGTTTCCTGTTCTTATGTGTCTCCAGCTGTCATGGCTCCCAGCTTGGCCCAGGCGTATAGGAGGAGGTGGTGGATGGCTATCACAGCCATTATAGAGAACCTGCTCTTCTCTGCTGTTCTGCTGGGCTGGGGCTCACTGCTCATCATGCTGAAGAATGAAGGCTTCTATTCCCACCTTTGCATTGGTAAGATCACCATCCACCCAGCTTTTCTGCTTGTCTCTGTAGTGCAGTAATCATTCACTGTCTCTCTTGGATAGTTTCAAAGCTGCAGCTTACTAAAATACATGGACAGTACGACTTCAGCACCGCCTGGTACCACCATGTTTGAAAAAATGACACAAAAGTGCCCTCTTGGATGCCCCTATTGTAGATAAAACACGATGCAGTGCTTTCAAGGCTGCGCTACATGCTACATGAAAATTAGTTGGCCTCTATGTACTGCTAAGTGGTTAATAATTTAATAGTTCCCTGTGTGTTTTTGTGTAGTTATACTTTTAATCTGAGTCACATTATACATTTTAATCTTAAACAAGTTTTACAAGCCTCACAAATCTCTAAACGGTTCGCTCAATAGACACTGAGGACTTTCTCTGAATAATCTAAAGTCTTTGCTTATTTCTCTCCTCAAATCTTTTTCAATTCAATTTTATTTGTATAGCCCCAAATCATAACAGAAATTATCTTAGGACACTTTTCAAATAGAGAAGGTCTAGACTGTACCCAACAGTTCCCACCATGAGCAAACATTTGGCAACAGTGGCAAGGAAAAACTTCTTTTTAAGAGGCAGAAACCTGTTCATCTGTTTATGTACTGTACTGTTTATCTATAATACGAGAACACGAGACTTCCTGTGGAAGGGTACATCCAACTGGGAGGAGACCCTGGGGTAGACCCAGTGGAGGGACTATATATCTCATCTAGCACTGGAATGCCTCAGGTTCCCCCAGGAGGAACTGTAAGATGTTCCTGGGGAGAGCAACGTCTGGAATACCCTGCTTAACCTGATAATGGATGGATGGATGGATAGACTTCTCTTGCATTTACCTCTGACCTTTTACACTGATTGAGTGATCAGGGCCTGTCCTGTACGTAGCACTATGTTGTGTTCACTTTGGTTCATACATTGTGATGTGTAGTCTTCTCAGTGCTGCGACGAAGGCTTTTGGCGGGCTTAGCAGATGTTGGATTCTCTACTTTCAACATTTTACCCTCCCCTGACTTCTTTTCTCTATGAACCTACCTAGAAAATGAGACTGTCAACACCAATGTGACTTCTTTGGAGAGCGGTGTCTGGCGGAGTTGTGTGGAGCAGGAAGAGATACTGAATCTTGGCTTCACCATTGGCTCATTCCTCTTGAGCGCAGCCACTTTGCCCCTGGGGATCTTGATGGATAAATACGGGCCACGCCCACTAAGGCTCATTGGCAGGTATGACAGTCCACTATTTTTTAAAAACATATTAAAGGTCCAGTGTGTAACATTTAGGATGATTTATTGACATAAATGGAATATAATATTCACAGGAATGTTTTCATTAGTGTATAATCACCTAAAAAAAAATATATTGTTTTTGTTACCTTAGAATGAGCCGTTTTTATCTACAGAGGGAGCAGGGCCTCTTTTAGTCCATCATGTTGAACCAGTAGCCCTACAGTAGCCCAGAACAAACAAACCAAGCACTGGCTCTAGATGGGGTCTTTTGCATTTGTTGTAAACCGTAGTTTTTCCTTCACCAGGGTAGACAACCTACTAAACATAAGTCACAACCAGACCTGGCACCTTTTCCTCTATATTTTGCCAAACCTCGATAGCAATGGCTACTAATCTTGAATCTCCCAAGCTAGGCTAGCTATGGCTTCCAAATCCAAAAAAGAAGAAGTCTCAGAGGAAAATATAAAGAGAATAATTAACATTGTATGGCTCAAATATGTTTTGCAGCTCCAGACAAACTTTTATTTAGTTTTCTGGCCAAAAAACCCTCTTTTTGTTAGTAAAGGTTGCTGATCCCTGTCTTGCACACTTGATTGATGTTGATTTGAGGGGTTTGAGCTGTTTGCAATGTGCAATCTCACCAGTAGATATCACTAAATCCCTACACACCAGTCCTTAAAAAAAACGGCATTGAAACCACACTCAATATCTGACATGCTGTGTCTGTATATATTTCAGTTTGTGTTTTGCGGCTTCCTGTGCAATGATAGCTGCCGCTGCATATGACCCTGAAGGTAAGGCAACTAATATTTCCAACTTTGAATCATCATACACTTGCTTCAGTTCCATCCCGCTACTGCAACAGGACAATTTTCTAACAGAGATACACTACTTAACAGAAATTTTAATCAAATACCAGATTCAGTCTAATTTTTAAATCATTCCTGTCAGTTATGGTAACATTTTACACACCAACGTCACTGCAACATCTCTGCAACAAATTCCAACTTAAATTCCTTCCAATTTAAGTAACATGAAAGTTAAAGCCAAATGTTACAATTAAAACCCAAGCTAGAAAATTACATGTTACCACCACCTACCATATTTACCATAGCTGTATGCAAAACACACATTTTATATACAATCAGAGGTATAACTGACATGTTAGGTGCACTTACTGTAGGTTGGGAATGATTGACAAAATGTACAAAAAAAAGACCAACATTGTAAAAAGTAACTAAACGCACCTTTAAAGTTTCATTATAGCTCATGGTATTCATTTATTTATATATTCATTTCCATGTGTTCCATCAGTGCTGTCTGTCCTCATCTTCCTTGCTGTTTCTTTCAACGGCTTTGGAGGAATCTGCCTGACCTTCACCTCACTCACAGTACGATGCCCACTCACACAAAGGCACACACACACACACTGCAATTGCGAACTACATTAGAAGTGTCAAAGCTGAGGAAGGTTACTTTGAAAAATAGTTCCACTCACTGAAAAATGTCTTATTACAAAATTACTGTTTGTCATGGTGGCATCAGGCTAGGTAAAGTAGCTCTGATGTCCCTTTTTGTGGCTACAGTATTTCCTCCAGCACCTCTTAGGGAACCCTGAGACGTTCCCAGGTCAAGGGATATACATCGATCACCCACAACATTATGAGCCTGACAGTGAATAACACTGATTATCTGGTTATCATGGCTCCTATCAGTGGGTGGGATATATCAGGCAGCAAGTGAACATGTAGTCCTCTATGTTGATGTGTTAGAAGCAGGAAAAATGGGCAGTGTGAGGATCTGAACGACTTTGACAAGGGCCACATTGTGATGGCTTGACGACTGGGTCAGAGCATGTCCAAAACTACAGCTCTTGTTGGGTGTTCCTGTCTGCAGAGGTCAGTATCTCTCAAAAGTGGTCAAAGGAAGGAAAAGAACAGGAGACGGGGTCATGGGGGGCCAAGGCTCATTGATGCACGTGGGGAGTACTGTAGCTCAAACTGCTGAAACAGTTAATGCTGGTTCTGATAGAAAGGGGTCAGAACACACAGTGCATCACAGTTTGTTGGTATGGGGCTGCATAACATTAGGACCACCAGGGTGACCAG